CATCAAGTATGGCAGACAATCTTATGCAGGGACAATGTTTTATGTTATTTTTGCTATTTCCTTTTTGGTACTACTATAAAACTATACTTCCAAAAGGAAGAAATATATATCTTTTGATCCCCCATATACTCAGAATTTGTCTGAATAAGCCACCATAGTCGCTTCGGAGTCGTTGTAGACGTCCCACAGCCATATAACCAAATTTCCAACAAAGCACTGAGCTTGTTGTGATGTTCTGCTCCTATAGACCCAAAACACGGAATCTCAGGAGTCATTCCAGGGTTTTATTCTCCACTCTATATTCATCCTCAACTCATATTATCACTCCCACACTCGTATTATCGCCTTTCCAGCAAGACCACAACTTGCTGTGATATATCTGCTTCGTTTAGACTCAAAAGTGCGGACTCTGCAGACTCATCTGCGGATTCACTCGATTGTAGTCTTCAGTACTTTCTTCTGAATCCCTTATTTGATCCCTGTGGGTTGAACAATGCATAGGTGTTTGGACATCAGGACTATACTCAGTTCTCTCCCAGGCACCTCTAGCATTTTACAGCGAGAGAATGAGGAGAGGGCGGGGAATAAGAGACCATGGCAGGTGTGAATGTGAGACCAATGCAGGTGCAAGGTGAGGTGCAAAATTGTGGTGTGAGAGAATGAGGAGAGGGTGGGGCACAAGAGATCATGGCAGGTGCAAAATAATGTGCAGGAGATTGTGGCGAGTGCAAGGACGAGGCATGAGAGATTGAAGGCAAGCACAAGTTGGCCTGTGTTGAAGGTAGATCACAAGGCCATTGCACACTGTGCAAATTGAGTTAGTGCTGACTGCTCTGAGCCTAGTGTGTCCACAGCCATTCACAAAGGTCTGTCTATTAAGTTCTATGAACTAGAGTGAAAATAAGCTCAGTCTTTGGGCAGAAGACTTAATATATTAGGATGATATATACCTAGAGTAAAAATAAGCTAAGATATAGTTGTTAGCTATGTGTAAAAGTGAGTTTGAATATATGTTGACTTACCTCAGTCTTTAGGCAGAAGACTGAGGTGTCAATGCTATGTAGACAAGTTTTTGGGTAAGTGTGGGAAAGTTCAGTGATTATGTAAGGTGATGGAAACTCGGAATATTTAAAGTAAGTAAGGGGATCAATGGATAAAGGAAGTTGATATGAAGGGTAATATAATACACAACACTGTCCTCACACTGTGCATACTGATTCAGTGCCCAATGCTCAGAGCCTAGCGCCTTTGCAGCCAATAGGAGGGGAAAGTTGGCGTGTGAGTCTGGGGAGGTGCAAGGGATCAAGAGTTGAAGTCCGTGGAGTGTTTCCTGGAGGGTGAGGCTGCAGGCATAGGAGAGAGGTACTAGTAAACATGCCACATCGGTAAAATATATGTGCAATGGAATCTTGTGAGAATACATACCTGCAAATCTGGTTGCGGTTGCACATGATTGACGGTTGGAACTGGCTGCATTTGCCTTGCATTGTGCAGCTGTGGTGTGTGAGGAAACATCACAGGTATTACTGCCAAGTGATTTGCTGTGTGTGCAAGGGAACAATATATGGGTGAAGGTGTGGCAGGTACTGAACATGTAAATGGTGACGAGAAGTAAGATGGATGCAGCTGAAATGTTGTGAGACCTGATGGAGGGCTGGGTTGGTGATATACCAAGGGGTATTGGTGTGCAATGGGGTTGAGGCTTTTATTATCAGAATCTGCTGGTGACCCGCTCTCTCTGCTAGTGTGGAAGTGGTGCAGTAAAGTATTTTCATGGCCAGCCAAAAACAAAACAAAAACTGAATGAGGAGGATTGTTTTGCACAGTAGAATGCTCTAGCACTAAAGGCCTGTTAGCGCGCAATGGACAAGGTTTTTTTGGTTGGCTCATTCTGATGGCTTTTTGCCTAGCCCGTTTTTCTTTGGCTGCCACTCGCTTTGCTGCATTTTGGTCAGCAGTTTCCTGCTTTCTTTCATCAGTTCTCCAAACCTTCTCATTGTTTTTGTCAGTGTCAAACCTCTTATCCAGCTCTGCCAGCCTCTTTATCACATCCTCACCGTGCCTTTCTGCATAACTAGAACTCCACCCTGCACTGGCCAGTGCTTCAGTGCTATCCAGCCTCTAACTTGTTGCAATTTTCATGAGGATAGCATCAGATAAGAGTCCCAAGCGCCATAAGGAACACAATCAGCATAATCTGCAATCCATGTTGAGTATCTCCACTCCTCAAGGAGCTGCTTAGCACCTTTGAGATGGTCACCATGGCAAGTAGCGGGGCAAGGTGTAGGAGGAACTATGGGATCAATTTTACCAGGACGCATAGGACACTTTCCGTTTTGATGTGGGGATTTGCTAGGTGAAGACTCAGTACTGCTGGTGCAAGAGAGTAGTCTTGATGAATTGTTCACAGGTGTTTGTGGACGTATATTGAATGTCTCCAGGAGCTTTGTTTTAAAATTGTCACAGCAAATGCCAGTGGGTGCTGCTGGAGTAACAATATTCAGGACAAGCATAAACACACGTAAAAGGCCAAACATACACTTTCTTCTCACACCACTGTCAAAATACTCATCTGCTACTTCACGCCAACAATCCTTTGTCTCAATCCAAGTGCGTAATCCTTCCTCTACTTTTTTCACATATACAGTATGATCAATTTCTCCAGGTTCCTTTGTTTTCTTCAAATGTTTTTCCTAAAAAACAGAAGGTTGTTGTTACAATACACAATTTTTGGACCTTTAAATTTTATTCGCCACTTTAATTTTCTTTCATAGTTTTCACATACCGTGCCATGTGGCACTTCCCATCTTGTTTAAACTCCACTTTCTCGTGCTGCACTGCATTTCTTTATTCTTAGCTACAAGTCTCTCATGCAGTGAAGCTGGTCATACGGGCCATGCCCTATGACATCATCAGCCACTGCCTTCATCAACTGTATAGTACACATGCACAAATAGTCTGTAGTAGTATAAATACCCTAATAGATCAAGGAGACTCCTCAGCGAGTCCTCCTGTTGTTTACCCACAACTAACTTGGTCCTAAACCTAAGGGAGTTTATCCACTCTCTCATTCACTTCTCTCTGCTTGTTCTTTCTGTGAATCAAAGTGTAAAAACTTTGGTTGTAACAGTACAAGAAAATTTGCACAAGCTTTTAAATCAGGTGACCTTCCTGCACTGCCAGCTTGTTGCATCCAAACAGACAGTGATGGTGTTACAAACTGTGACTCATATGGACTTTATTTCTTCTTTGAGTAGCTACCTACCACTACTCATTACTATTTCCCACACTGGTTACTCATTATAGTTTCTCACCCGTTGTTGTTTGTTCAACACAAACACCTACCCTAAAGTAGAACAGTATATATAGCCACTTGTATTGTAGTTAACATCTCCAATACAATTGTACGCTTCAACAGTGCAACTTGGTATTCATATTGAAACCCTTCAGCTACTTCAGAATATGTCTCAAACCCGTTGTCCACGGGCTTATCAGAAACCACTTCCACATCCAGAAACCCTCTTGTTACCAAGCTTGTACATCACAAGCGTAACAAAACAATTGTATTCTACACCGTCATTCCCACGCTTTCTAGCGAAGGGACGAAAAAGACAATAAAATGTTGCAAGGAAGAAGACCCACTACCAGGGCACAGACCAGAGCAGAACCTACTCAGACAGCCACACCCCCAGTATCGTCAAGACAAGAAAGAACAGCAGCACCACCCCCTTTTCCCCAACCCGACGTCACCAGACTTCATACCAGAGAACAAGCAGACGCATTTATCAAAGCTAAAACACGTTGGTTATAGTATTATGCGAGAAGTCACCTGCAGCTAATACCCAGAACCCAACATGATCCCCCAGTCTCGGAAGAAGACATCTACAACAAACAAGACTTTGAAGAATTCGCCGCAGAAGGCCAACAGTACCACATCCCACACCTCAGATACTTCCCCCTGCACCCAACCCATCTCCCATTCCACCAACTAGCACCATGTCCAACACCACAGCACCCAAACCCACCAAGTTTGGACAAATAGACAATTTTGATGGAATGCCCGACCGAGCCAACGGCTGGATGTTGTCAGCCAAAGCATACTTTGACGTAAACGACGCCATTTACGACTCCGACAGAAAGAAGGTCTTCGAAGCCCTCTCCCACATGAAGAAGGGAGCCACCCTAGCATGGAAAGAGACTAAACTGATGGAATACACTGGATCGGGCAAATACCCGAAATGGGCAGACTTCAAAACCAACTTTAACGGAACATTTATTACCGTGGACGTAAAGGGAGCGGCCAGTGCGGCCCTTATGACAATGAAAATGGAAACAGGAGAAATGGCAGTAAAGTTTAACTCCCGTTTCATGGTGGAAGCGGGAAAGAGCAGCTTGAACGACGAAGGACTAATCATGGTATACAAAAGCTCCATATGCCCGTATCTCCTTCAAAATGTGCTCAATTCTGCCACCTAACCAAAGAACATCGCAGGATGGATGAGCACCATCGCTGGCCTCGATGCCAACTAGACAAATTCAAACAGCATCAGCGAAGGAAAATGGGGAAAGAAAGGTGAAAAGAAGAGAGAAGAAAAAGGAGGAAGAAGCCAATCATCCTCGGCAAAACATTTAACCAAAGATGAAGAAGACTTGCTCAAAAGAGAAGGGCGATGCTTTATATGCAAAGAACAAGGACACATCTCGCGGTTTTGCCCGGATAAAAGAAAAGGAAAACAGCCGGAACGGAAAATTTGTACCGCCGAAGTCACAGGAAAAGAAGTCACAGAAACCGTGGTAGAAGATGGAAAAGGAATTTCCCACATCCTCAAAATGTGGAGAGAACTTGGAGAAGCCGATTGCGCCTCTGCCATTGATGAATTAGAAAAAGAGGGTTTTGGAAAGGACGACCCACCCCAATGTTGGTACCGTCCCGAATAGCCGTTGTAACCATAGCTACAATTAATTCGAACTCCCTACAAATTGACACCACGTTACGACAAAAAACCATTGGAACCAAAGCACTCATCAACTCGGGAGCAACCAATGACTTTATGGACGCAAAGTTTGCCATCAAACACCGCTATCCCCTTAACAAACTAGAAGTACCCATTACATGCAAAAATGTAGATGGAACCGTCAGCAACGGAAGAAAGATCACCCATTACACGTATCAGCGGGTAGAAGTAGGAGGAAGGAACACTATATGCAAATTCCTTATCACCAGCTTAGGAGGAGAAGATATTCTCCTTGGATACCCATGGCTCCACAAGGTAAACCCCACTATAGACTGGACATCCAAAAGTGTAGACACCCAACACGCCATTTGCACAATCCGACATCACTCCAACCAATCCATGATTCGCACCACCACAACAGATCAATCAGAACTATTGATCAATTACGTACATGAAACACGGACCTTTGCAAAAACTAACACCACAATGGAACTAGCCATCCAACACAATGTTGGGAAACGGATAACGGAACTACCCAAAACCTACAAAGAATTTGCAATGGTCTTTGACAAAAAGGCCTCAGAGAGATTACCCAAAAGAAGGATCTATGATCACGCCATAAACCTAAAACCGGAATTTAAACCAAAGGATTGTATAATCTACCCTTTATCACCCAAGGAAAACATGGCACTCGAAGAATTCCTTGACCATAACCTTCAAAAAGGATACATCCGACCAAGTAAATCCCCAATGGCTTCCCCTTTCTTTTACATAGACAAAAAGGACGGTTCTCTACGACCATGCCAGGACTATCGACGACTAAATGAACAAACCATCCGAGATCCTTATCCACTACCTATGATCCCCAACCTCATAGACAAACTCCATGGAACATCACATTTCACAAAATTGGATCTACGATGGGGATATAACAATGTCCGGATAAAAGAAGGAGACGAATGGAAGGCGGCATTTAAAACTAGGAAAGGACTCTTTGAACCAACGGTAATGTTCTTCGGCATGTGCAACTCCCCGGCCACCTTCCAACGCATGATGAACAACCTCTTCGCAGACATGATAGATGCAGGGTGGCTTATCATATATATGGACGATATGCTCATATTCAGCAAAGAGCCTGAAGAACACATTCTACGGACAAAAAGAGTGTTACAACACCTACGGGAAAACAACTTATATTTAAAACTGGAAAAATGCACCTTTGATGTAGCCAAAATAGAATATCTCGGCATGATTGTTCGCCACAACCAGGTACAAATGGATCCAGTAAAACTAGCCGGAATCCAAAATTGGCCTACCCCAACCAACACACACGAAGTATGGAAGTTCCTCGGATTTGGCAACTTCTACCAAAAATTCATTGGCCACTACTCGGAACTTGCAAAACTGCTCAATGCCCTACTCGAAAAAGGAAAAATTTGGAGCTGGACAATGGCCAAAGAAAATGCATTTGCGCTGCTAAAACACCGCTTTAGCAAATCACCGGTGACGCAGATACCCGATCCTAACAAACCATCACAAATTGCGGCGGACACGTCCAAACATGCAACCGGAGCGGTGTTAAACCAACCAGATGACAACGGAGTGTGGCATCCGTGTGCCTTCTTCTCCAAAACACTATCCCCAGCGGAAAAGAACTACCAGATATACGACAAGGAACTACTGGCCATCATCAGAGCATTGGAAGAATGGAAACACTATATCCAAGGCAGCACACACACAATAGAGATATTGACGGACCACAAAAATCTCACATACTGGCAAGAAGCCAGAAAATTGACACCACAACAAAGATGCTGGCAACCTCTCCTCTCACAGTACAACTATACTCTGAAACACGTACCAGGGACACAAATGACAATTCCAGACAATCTATCCAGAAGACCGGACCTATACATGGAAGGTGACAAAGAAGATACACCACTGCTCCCAAAAACTGTCTTTGCCGCAGTAGCGACCACAGACCCATTTCTCACTCGCATAAAGGACAGTTTACACGATGGAACCAAATTGCCAATGCACTCAGACCCCACAGATTGGGCCATCAGAAACAATGATGTCTACTACAAAAGTTGCCGGTACATTCCCACAGGAATAGACAGAAAAGCATGCATTCAACAACAACACGATACACTCACAGCCGGACATCCTGGACAACTGAAAATAACCCAATTAGTAACACGATATTACTATTGGCCGAGTATGACGCAAATGATCAAAGAATATGTTGCAGGGTGTGCCACGTGCCAACAGAGTAAGGCGATTACAAACCCGATCAAAGTACCCATTCAACCGATTATAGGCCCCAAAACGACTGAACCATTCAAAAACCTGTCCGTCGACTTCATCACAGATCTTCCAGAAAGCAACGGATATGACAGTCTCATGGTCGTGGTGGACCACGGCCTTACAAAGGGGGTAATACTATCACCATGCAGGAAAACTATTGACGCATTAGGAACGGCTAAATTATTTCACCAACACGTGTTTAGAAGATTCGGATTACATGATAAACTCATATCCGATAGAGGACCACAATTCGCATCAGAAGTAACCAAGGAACTAGCCACATTACTCAAAACCGGAATTAATCTATCAATGGCATATCACCCTCAATCTGATGGAGAAACCAAAAGGGTAAACCAAGAGATAGAAACGTACTTGCGGATCTTCTGCAATAATTTACCACACTCTTGGATGGAATATCTCACGACAGCCGAATTCCATCAGGAAAAACCCTTTTGCTATATAGCGCTATATAGCCACCACCTATATATATAAATGCATTCATAGAAACTATAGTACTATCAGTGCAATCATAGCTCTTATAGCTCTTATAGCACAGTAGTAGGCAAAATTTTAACCAAGGGGAGAAGTATCTATAATTCCCTCAAACTCTGGATTAATCTAATAAACTTGTTCAATAATAGAAAGAGGCCAGAAGTGTTTGGAGTTAAGTATATTATTATAGGCAAGGTACTATAAGTGCTCTTATAGCCTATAGCAGCCTATATAGCTCCTATAGCTGTAAAGATCATAGTTATAATATAGTTCAAGGTGCTTAAAAGGGCTAATAAATCATCCAGTATTAATTAATTATGTAGCCTGTATTAGTGAAATAGTAGTTTGTATTCCTGATACTCACAAAATAAGATTAATGATTTATCCAAATATAAGTAGTGACAATGAGTGAAAAAAAAATCTAAATCCATGAAAAATCAATATATAACACCTGTATGATACATTTTATAAGCTCTTATGGTGTAGTGGATAAATGTAATGTGTGGCTATAGGTTGCTTAGTCACCCAAAAGCTGACTAGCCGGTTGAGAGTTCAAATCCTGTCTGTGTTAATTTATTTTTATCAGCCACACAACAATTTCCAACATCTATAAGAGCATTTATAGAGCTATATGAGGCTCTATAGATGGCAGAGGTTTTATAACAGGTTTGACCACTATAACAGCTTTATGAGTACTTATAGTGCTATAGAGCTCTATATAGCTACCCCCATTTTTCCTGATGTCTGCCACAACCACAGACCCCATTCTGCACGGAACGAATCCCCATTCTATCTAATGATGGGATACCACCCCAGAGATCTCTACCAAAAGTTCAATTGGAAACGAGAAGGCCCCTTTGTCATCCTCGAAAAAGTATCGCCGGTTAACTACCGACTAAAACTCCCAGACGCGTGGAAAATCCATCCTGTATTCCACGCAACCCTTCTAACCCCATACAAACAAACCAAAGTCCACGGAGAAAATTACATAAGACCACCGGTGGAGATAATCAACGATCAAGAGGAATACAAAGTAGAAGCCATTTTACGGCACAAAAAGAACAGAAAAGGATATCTATATTTAATCAAATGGAAGGACTACCCGTCGGCCAAAAATTCCTGGGAAGAAGAAGCAAACCTACAGAATGCCTCCGAGACCTTGACAGAGTATAAGAAGAGGCACAAATTGTAGAATCATCCCTAACAACGAACTCCCTCCTTCACTTCTACATCCTTACCCAAGACAAGATGTCTCAAACCACCCCTGTTGACCAACAACCCCCTCAGTTTCCTCCTTATCTCACTGAACCACCAGTAATCACTGAAGCCCAATGGGCACACCGACTAGCCCTTACTCGCGAACAGACCAACGTTGTAGATGCCACCGAACTGATGTCAGATAGGCGCGCATACTTTTATCTATTCCATCAGTCTAACATCGATTGCCTTTACGCTACTTACCCTCTGGACACGTTCCATTGCTGGCAACAATCATTCCTAATTGCCAACGAACTACACACAGTCACCGTCTCACTGGCTTTGTTAGTAGATGAGCTTACACGGGACAACAATTCCGCATTGAGTATTAGAGCGACTTTGCTCATGGAACACTTGCAGATAGAATCCCTGGAACAACGCTTGAGGAAGAACTGCGAGAATGGAGAGAAAGAAGCGGTCAAGGCTTTCCTACAATTAGGGGGCCAGAAGGTGTGCGAAGACGCGAGGAACCTTCTCGCCCAATGAGGATACCTCACCTCCCCTCCCCCAGATTTGTTATCCCTACCAGGTCTCACGGGACACACCTTTCCAGGACGTCACCCCCCTCACTCTCCACCACCACCTCCACCAGCATCTCGCCCATCATCGCCAGATCTTGCTCTACCCGTGCCCGCTCCACTATCCCCAATACGTTCCTCTACAACCGACTCAATAACCCCCGTTCCCAACGTAGTCGACGCATTGCAGGACACATTGATTCCTACGTGACCAACGATGCTGTAAGGACCGTTTTATTATTTTCTTATCTTCATTATGTCTTGGTTCTCCAACGCCTTTCCCATTACACCTCTGGCTCTAGGGCTAGAGGTATCCTTTGCCGCTTTACTTCTCATAGCCCTCACAGGCTTTCTTAACCATTGCTACCATTTTATATCACAGATCAGAGACTGGGTATCGCTCCCAGCCAGCCAGCACACGGAGTAAGGACTGGTGGTAGGCATCTCGCCAACCAGCTCCAAGCTTCAGTAAAGCCTGGTTATACTAATAACACCTTATTCAGGATCGTACCTCATCATGAGGATACGGTTCCTGAACATGCGTGACAATCCTCTATTATTAGTACAAGTCTCTCACCTGCTGATTAATCAAGTTAAAAGTCGTACGATAGTTACTCTCCCTTTTTCTTATTGGTCGATTGATTCCTCAGACCACTTTTTGTATATTCTCCTTTCGGTCTGAGGAACGAACAGTTCACTATATAAAGCCTTACCTATTCATGTATGGCTCTTTAGTTTTCTATTACTGAATTTACCCGCTTTACTCCTCAACGAAAACCTTTGAAGCTTACCTCTCAAAGTCCTCTACTCGCTATATTTACTAGCGTCTGTTGACCTCAAGCTCATTGAACCCTTTACTCCCTGCAAGTGCAGAAGGAGACAGGTTTCGTTTTTGTTATAGTTTATTGTTGCCTCACAGACACCCCTTCCCCAACTTCCCCAACCGCGTTGCCCCCGCTGACTATGCCGACAGCGCCCCAAGCCGGTACTCCTCATCCCTTTGGGCCGCACTCCCCGAGTACCGCACACAGGCCTGAGGAAGACCCCGATATCGACCAGCAACACATCTCCGGATGGAAGGTTGTCAAGGAGCAATGAAGGGGACACTTTGTCCACAGGGAATAAAAGCAAAAAGCCCTCACCCATATCAGACTATTCCAATTCCACTCATTCACAATCCTCTTCGGAACGAAGACGCTGCCCTCGTGTTCGACGTTGTTATGCATGTCAAGAATATGGCCATTGCGCCATCTATTGTCGTCACCATACTTGCTCTACGTGTGGGTTAGATGCCCCAGGGCACCGAGCTAATGAATGTAACCTACGACGCAACTACCCCTTTGCCCGGGATAGTTGGGGATTGGATGACATACATAACAACCTGGACAATGACGCACGGTACAACGTAGACGGAGAATTGGGAGACTTCGGAGCAGTCTGAACATAAAACGGGGGTAATGTTACAAACTGTGACCCATACGGACTTCATTTCTTCTTTAAGTAGCTACCTACCACTACTCATTACTATTTCCCACACTAGTTACTCGTTATAGTTTCTCACCCGTTGTTGTTTGTTCAACACAAACACCTACCCTAAAGTAGAACAGTATATATAGCCACTTGTATTGTAGTTAACATCTCCAATATGATTGTATGCTTCAACAGTGCAACTTGGTATCCATATTGAAACCCTTCAGCTACTTCAGAATACGTCTCAAACCCGTTGTCCACGGGCTTATCAGAAACCACTTCCACATCCAGAAACCCTCTTGTTACCAAGCTTGTACATCACAAGCGTGACAGATGGTGGTACCATAAATTGCACCAATTGCTCTATGTAAGGCATATCACAACCCTGGAAATAGAACTAATTAAAAGAATATACCAGCATCTCCAGATGGAATAACTTACCATCCCTGAAGCGGCAAACAGTATTTTGATTTTACCCTTTTGAAATAGCTGCAAGATTTTATTCTTGGCTGCAGGGCTTTGTCGTGAATGATAGATGACAATCTGTTCTTGCATACCTTCAGGTACAAACATAAGTTAAATCAAGTGGAGGGAGTGTGGCTGAAGTCACAAGGAATGGAACATAGCTTGGTACAAGTGCACAAAGAGCTCCCAAGAGTGAGTAGTCTTTACGGAAGTTATCTCCCCAAAGCTGAATGCAATGTGCTTTGTCAATGACTACTACAGCAATCTGGGCAGCAAAATTTGGGCAGGTCAAGGCCTTTTGAAAGGGGTCATGATTCAGACACATTTCCGGTGATGTGATTATCACTTGGTATTGCTGTTTCTCCAGTTACGGTACCCAGAATTAAATTTCTGGCAGCTTAGTGAAGCATAGGGTTCTTTACCTGATGTAAAGATTGATTATATGTTTCACCATTTACCGCAACAGCAGTAAGCTTCATTTCTCTGAACCGCTGAGCCTGCTGTAACAACCAAGAGTTATTTACTCCGGCGCACACAGGAACACACTATAAAGAAGATGATGGGGAGTGGTTACCCCTTAGACTGCAGTGAGTTAGTTGTGCTAGACAACAGAAGGACTCGCTGAGTCCTTCCCCATGTATTGGTCTTGTATATATACTAAAATACATGAGGTACTGTACAGTTGTAAATAAAGTTCAAAGTCCAATGTCTAGCATGTGACCGGTCACATGATGAGTCTAGACACTGGTCAGGTGATGTGTCACATGACTGGTCATGTGACTTGGAAAATAAAAGTAGAAGTACAAAAGTGAAGCGTAAGTAGGTGCTGGTATGTCAATTGTAACACCTGCCATAGCCAACAAGTGAGTACATGCTTTGTGATATTAACAAATCATGCTTGCCTGATCCTCTTCTAGTGCATTTGACGGAGATATTATAATGACATTCTTGTTGGGATGTGCAAACAGCGGCATGACAAAAGGCATTGTCTTCCCCGCACCTGTGCCTGCAATTACAGAGCAGTCAAGACCCAAGGCAAGAGCTTCTGCAACATTAAGCTGCTATTCATAAGGGCTCTTTCCATTGTCGCACACATAGAATTCTTGTGACAACACCAACAAGACACAGTCTTGGGGCACTGGAGCACAATGAAAACAACACTCAAAAGAAGAGGAAGAGGTGGGAGTGGTTACCCATTTGGTAGAAACAAGTTAGTTGTTGGTAGACAACAGGAGGACTTGCTGAGTCCTTCCCCAAGATCTACTGGGGTTTATATATTAATACAGGTTTGTTTGTACATATGTACTGTACAGTTGCTAGAAGCAGTGGCTGCTGATGTCATGGGGTCTAGCCCATGTGACCAGCTCCACTGTGTGAGATACTTGTAGCTAAAATAAGTATAAAGGCAGTGCCGTGCGAGAAAGGTGGAGTTTGAACTAAAAGGGAAGTGCCACATGGCACAGTGCGAAAACTACAATACAAGGTTAAAGCGGAGAATGAAAATTAAAGGAAAGGTCCAAATTTGAAAAGTAAGGTAAATGGTCACATGACTGGTCATGTGACTTGGAAAAAGTAAAAGTATACAAAAAGTAAAGTGTGAGTAGGTACTGGTACGTCAATTGTAACAATTCTTCACATATTTTTTGCCATGTTGATGATGCAGAGTCATACTTGTAGTTTTGTTTGGCTTTCAAGTGTGCTTCTTTCAAGGCCTCAGTGGATCTTTTAAGGGTCCTTTTCATGAGAACTGATACAAGAAAGTTCAGGGGCCATTCCAAGAAAGGGCTTGGGCACTGAAAGGAGGAAGGTTGGCCCAGAAAAATGTATAGCAAAAATATGTAATTGGTGGGCACGTGACTGGATGTACCTCTTTCTATACAAAATGCACCAGACGTTATAGGGTATGATCCCACAAGTGAATCTTACATTTTTTTGCCTCCGACCTCAAAGTCCGCTCTAGGATAACATCATGCCCTCACAACGGCGGGAACGAGACTAGGGTGTGGAAGGCACCTGCCACTTGTTCAGCAGTGCAACTTGTTTGTGAAAGACAGTGTTTGCTCTACGAGTGTGAGAATTTCGGATTATGTAAGATGCAAAAAAGCGAAGAGTAGACTAGAAAACGAAGTGTCTAAGGATGCTTTGTATTGAGGGAAGAATAACAGATGGAATGCAACGTAGCTCATACCTCAACACGGGAGAGCTTTAACTATGTCTTCCTCTCGTTCTCTGACAGTTGATCGTCCCTTTACTATACCTGCTTCAAAGAGTGGCAAACCTTGTCGATCTTCATCTCATTCGTCCTCCTCTTCTTCTTCTTCTTCCTCCTCCTCAATCAATGACCAGCATCACCGTCTACGACAGGCTGCAGTGGGCACAGGAGTAGGTCGCAAAGTCGCTGCTACGCTCGAGCTATTCAAAGAATCAGCTGCACCTCCGTCATCTGAAGAAAAAGCTCGAGAAACATTTCAGTCCGAATCGTCTATCGCCAAACGCAGGCCTGTTTCTTCTCAGAAACCAGATAAAGTCGCTGAGACCAAGTTTGAATTTTTCAAGCGGTCGGACTGGCCGGATCCTGAGACAGCCGCGATCAGAAGGGAAAGAAGTTCTACTGCTTTAGAAAGAGTCAGAACACGGGAGAGTATTGTAACAAACGCTAGTCTGAAGGATTCGGACACTTTTTGGGAAAAGGAGAGAAAGTCGTCGACTCGAGAAAACATTATCAACGATCTAACGCAATGGCGTAAGGAGGTGTCAGCGAGGCAGGAAGTTGGGCGTGGTAGGCGTCGCGAGAGAGCTTCGGAGGCCCCAGACTTCGACGCTGACATGCGATTAGTCGATGGTGTTACTTTGCCATCGTCTGCACCCCTCGAAACTCACATAAATGCTATCTCTTCATCTCCGTATAACCGACCATCATCCTCCAGAGGCTACCCACCATCTCCCTCGCCATCCCATTCGCCCTTTGACCGTGCCCCATCATTCCCTTTCTACGGCATTGCGCAGGAATTGAATGGCAATTCTCAGGGTCTGACGTCAGATTTCAACCAGTCACGGAGTAGTTCTCCTTCTTACTCCAGTGCTCCCACACCCATACGAACCGCATCACCATATGTCTCTACTTCCATAACTTTGCCTCCCCTGTCGTTGCCTGCTCTCGAAACTGCTCCTTATTCTCCTTGGTCCACAGATGATGAGTCCGCTTGGGAAACTGGTTCCATAACATCCACTACCTCTGCTACTTCCTCCCCTTTGCGATTAACTTCGCATTCTTCAATATATCACGCTACATACAGTGACGAGGACGATGAAAATCATGAGGTATCTCATGTTATGCCACAAAATGAAGAGTCTCCTGAAGGCTCTAACACTTTCGAAGACGACGACTTACTGGCCTTGGGCCTTGATCAGCCGCAAGAGACGTTACCCCATATTCCCTTGCGGCCATTCCGTAACCAGGTTGGAGGGCATAGTGCCATCTATAAATTCACTAAGAGAGCGGTCTGTAAGGTTTGTCACGACGCATACATCTCATTGAGATTTCAGTCTGTTGATATCTCATAACCTGTAGCCTCTTGTGTCACGAGAAAATTTGTTCTACGAAGCAGTGGAGCGAGAGGCTCCTCCTTTATTAGGATTTATCCCAAGATATTTAGGTGTCATGCTCGTTAGCTACAGGCGCGTCCCTAAGGGAGTAACCACACCACCTAGTCCGGATCTATCATTGACTACTCCCAAACCTCACGCTGCTATTGAGTCATCTCAGCCCCGTCCTTCTATGCGTCAATCTGTCAGCGATCCTTCCTACAAATTATCCAGTTCATCCGTATCTAAGGTTCCTACCAATACTAGCGTGCCAGAGGAGGATGAAGGGGGCGACACTGATCCAGCCGAAGCCGAAATGCCTGAAGTAGTCCTCGATCGTAATCGTCACATCATCCCTCCATGGATGCTTCGTGGCAATCCACGCAATCGTTCCATGTCTCACAGCTACACCGCTGGACAATCTTGCCTATCCAACAGACACTTGAAGCGGCTACACTTCAACGGTGCTACGGCTTCGAGTCCTGACCTTGGACTGAATACGGGCTCGGTGGCACAGAGTCAGTTGGCGTTCAGGCGCAGTCCGCTTGCTAGAAAGGATAGAACTTCAGACGAGGAGACGAGCGCACCAACACCTGCAAACTCCCCGTGTCAGTCGGCTCATATTCTACCTGCCCACTCATTTTCTGCCACTGGTTCTATACGTCCATGTTTCAGTTCCGAAGGAGAGGAGTTGTTCACTCGACCCGAGATGAGGGCATTCCACTCTGAACTTGCATCGCCGACACCTGGTTCATTTGGTGGTACTGGCTCGACTATGGTTAACACCAAACTCAAGGATCACGTCTTCAGCACAATATTAAGGAGATTTCATAGGCGAAGCCGGCGTCGATGGGCTTCAACTGATGTTGGGACTGAGGATGAGGGTGATATGGCTGATCACGAGGGAGGTGTGACGTGTCCCAGAAGGAGGAGACTGCACTCACAGATGAAGAAACAGTCCGTTGGTCAGGTGGTGGAGTCGCTGAAACAAGAGGGGAGCGGTCGCTCGCTATCTGCCATCCGTCGTGTGCAGAGTGAATCTGCAATGAGCCCGTCTCACTTTGAGGGATCGGAGGGAAGGGACAATGACTCTTTAAGAGAAATTTTCGAGATGGAGTATGACCATGCCGATGGTTTGAACCATCTGAAGCCGTCTTTTTCCCGTAGGCGAAGCCGTTCCCGTTCTCTGGACCAAGTAGGATATACTCCACGGGTAGCATCTGCACCTGTAGTACCAACCAGATCGTCGCTGCAGAAACACGACTGCGAGTCTCTAGTGACGCGCCAGAATCATTTCATATTAATGGAAGACTTGACTGGTAGACTGAAGCACTCTTGTGTCCTAGACCTGAAAATGGGCACTCGACAGTATGGCATGGACGCGACTTCTGCTAAGAAGAAGAGTCAGCGCAAGAAGTGCGACCGAACTACCAGCAGAGTGTTGGGTGTGAGAGTATGTGGGATGCAGGTGAGTGCTATTATACCTGGCTTATAAGGGCTGTCGCCACGGTACCCAACATGAGCTTCTCGTAAACCACTGATAATCTCGATTTACTGACATACGTTGCTCAAGGTTTGGAACCACGTGACTCGGACGTATGTGTCCCAGGACAAATATATGGGTCGTGAAGTGCGCCCGGAAGATTTCCCGTCTGTTCTTGCCTCCTTTCTGTATGACGGCGAGCGCCTACTGGCCTACCATATTCCCATCCTGCTTCAAAAATTATACGCTCTCACTCGGATCATTAACCGGTTGAAGGGGTTCCGCTTTTACGGATGCAGTCTTCTCCTGATATACGACGGAGATCGTGAAGCTCAGGACGCCTTCAGATCATCGGCGTTGGAGCATCCGTCATCTCGGAGCAAACGAGGAGAGTCGTTGGAGAGGCAGGCATCACGCACCAGGTCGACAAATAAACACGCAAGGCCCTCTCTCAGACGTTCGCACAGCGAGGATCTGCTTGTCGGTCCCGTAGCGAAGCGGTCGAATGGGCGACGTAAGCGCGGCGAGATGAACGTCCGTATAGTCGATTTCGCGCATACCACCACAGGGCGAGACTGGCTTCCTTATCCTTCCACCTTTGACGGGGACGTCACCCGAGAAGTATCTAGTTCTGAGGGGTACCAGGCCGAGGTGGATCCCGAAACAGGTCTTATCTACGCCAGGTTTCCTCCACATTATCCTGAGGAGCCTGATCGTGGATTCTTGTTCGGTTTGAAAAACCTGACTGAAACGCTGGAGAAGATTTGGAATGAAGAGCGTATCAGGAGGATCAAAGCTGCCCGTGATGATCCAAATATCGCGGCACACCAGCTTCCACCGTTGGCGACTGATGGCAAAGATATATTTGAAGAGATATTTGGCTGCTCTGACGAAGACGATGATCCAGGAATGATATCCACATAAACTATTGTCTTTCTTCCCGTGAGGTATCACAATATTTCTTTTCCAAAACGCTATTCAATTTTATTTTATCGTATTGACTTATCAGGTTGCATATTCCAGCAGTATTTTATTGTTCTTGCTTGGGTTCAATGGGTTCATTGTGTTTTCATCTCTAGTAGACTGATCCCCCTTCCCTCCGCCTCCCACTTTCACGTATTTGCTGTGCACATGTATATTCTAGCATTGTACCACACCTGTTTTTTTCACTCTCATACTTTTATCAACATAATGAGTATGTAACCTTATACATACTTTAGATACGTATAAAATTCAAAATGCACATGTGTTGAGGCCAAAAAAATTGTGTGGATGCTGAAGAGTTGTGTAAATGCATAAACGCCGTTCTGCTATCCTGTAGTGACTTTTTCCGCTCACAAGCAGACAGTATGTCTTTCACTGTGAATGGATGGAAGTGTGGCAAATACTGTTTCACGACGTTTGATGTTCGGACAGAAGGATTGAGGATCCGGGTGAATGCGACATCAATTCATGAATGAATATCACAATAGTCTACGTTCTACTCCATAAACACGGTTTCATGAGTCTTCCTCTGTAACATATTTGGCACGGATATCCTTCCATTGTTTCTGGGATACGCCGTCAGACCGAACGCACAACATGTGTATAATATATTGTAGCTTACCCCTTTATTCCATCGGTCCCAGAAAGATGTGACACCAACATCAAAGCCAACTCCGAAGGAAAAGGCTCCAACAAAAATTGCCGTGACATAGACACCTACGCAAGAAAAAAATGAGTTGAATCGACACCTGGTTATGATATTTCGGCGCACTGTTTCGCTTGACAAGCGCGTTATAAAAAGCATTAGCGAACTGAATAGAATGGGTGAAATGTCAATTAAAAAATGCAGATATCTTGATAATGTAGTTATACTGACTGCCATGGCTGGAGTTTAGCTGGCGAGTGTTGTAGTATAACTCTAGTAGATGAAGGTGAAGACTGTTGTCGCCGCTTTCCGGTGGTGTCCGAAGGAAATAACGCGAACTTCCCACGGCCGTCCGTATAGCAAACGCTCGCGTTCGAAAACCGCAAGAGTGCTCGACGATGTCTTGGACGATGCTCCCGCTCAAAAGCATGCGCTCCCCGCTGTCGAGTGCGATGAGGACCTCAATACGCAGTCCCATGCTATATTTCAAGCATCCCGCTAGAGCTTACTCAATCGCAGAGGATATCGACCTACTCGAGGCAATGGGTATTGCTGATATGCCACCTTCACCTCCTCCCGGAAGCTTCCCCAATCCATTCAGAGAAAGCGAAAAGAAAGCAAAAGCGCTTACACAAGCAATAAATCCTACTTACTACCTCTATGTCCATTCTTCGCGCAACAATACCATTGTCACTTTCACGAGACCAGATGGCGGCACGCTGAAGTGGTGGTCGGGAGGGTCATGTGGATTCAAGAAGGCCAATCGTGCGGGGTATGAAGCAGGATATCAGTGTGCTGTTCGAGCATTTGCAAAGATTGTAGAAGAGGCGAAATCGACACCACTTACGGTTGGACTTCGATTCAAAGGTTTCGGTCAAGGACGGGAAGCCTTGTATAAAGCGCTGATGGCAAGCGAGGGAGAGGCAGTTCGACCTCTGGTTGTTGAGGTCGAAGACAGAACACCAATTAAAATTGGAGGCACAAGGTCCAAAAAGACGAGACGCCTGTAGCTGGTAAGTTTTTTTTGTAGTACCCCGATCTCTTTGTTTGACGTTCATCTTTAGGACGTCGGCGTTATTCTCAGCACTCACTTCTGCATTTCCGCCTTTTGCATAGTCGCGCCCTTATAGTCCTGAGGGGTCGAGCAAGATATTTAGGTGTGGTGCTCGAGCAATTTGCATACTTACATCATAGATCTACGCATACATTCGCGTGTAATACTACTAGCTCCTGGACAAGCTAAACACCCATACGCTGAGGACAGAGTTCTTCTGCATTGCATGTGACCTCTACAATATATAGTCTATCTGTGTCAATCCGCTCTATCCTTCTATATCTATCAATAAATCACAGGTCAAAGTAGGTGTCGGATGCGAACTTCTCGTATTCTGGCCTAGCCAAACATCGAAGAGCAACTTGTTTGTCTGTCTCAATGTCTTCTATGAGAGCTTCTGTAATGCCACGACATATATTAGAAAAGCGCACGCTTTGAATGTATGAGACATACCTCGTGAAGTATAATCTAGCTGTGGGCGAATGTAACCGAGCACAATAACCTTCATATTATAGCCATAAAAGTCGGATTTGAATTCATGCATGAGGTGAACTTCCTGAAAAGCCCTAATCAGATAACAACATGAGTAGAAAGGAACGGGCAATCCTACTGCAGTCAAACGTTCATTCTTATAGAATGGATTCCATCCTATGCTCATGGCCATAGGTAACACATGAGCATCTTCGGCACTAAATGCTGATTCTTGATCCTTGGGAGGCGAGACTTGGGCAAAGCCATAGTAGACACCTGTCGTCGTTATATCCTGCAATTGTGGTAGAGATTCGTCAGGAAGATTAGCTGTCCCCAGTAGATTAGCATAGAGACCGATAAGACGGTATCGGATTAAGGACATACCAGTTGGACAGCCCAAATCCTTTCCTCCTCGACCAAAGCCCCGCTGGACTGGACCGGATGCTCGTACAGGAAAGGGGGGCTCTGGGGTATCTGGGCCTACGATTGTTGGCCTGGTCAGACGAAATGACTCAGTTTGGAATGGTGCTGTTGGTCTCTCAGGCTTTCCATTGGTCTCCGAGTCTGCAACCATCTGGATTATATCTAGATCTGCAACACAGAAAGTTAATAGGCAGATGGGTGGGGTACTATTGAGCAAGATAATTACAGAACGCTGCGCCCGTGCACTTGCTTTTCTAAGGCTTGTAAGCTTGTGGGAGTAAACAGTGAAGAGTCCATATCAGTTACGCTTACAAGCTCACTTTCAGGTGCTCGTGCCTCGGTTTCATTTGAACCACCATGTCTACGTTCCCAGCTTATCCACCTTATGGCACATACCAAACACCATATCCTGCTTATCCTTCCACACATTACCCATCGCAATATCCGCAAAATACACCAGTCGCACCCTTTCCTCCTTTATACACTCTTCAACCCAAACCACCAAGTGCACCACGCTTGCCCCCCGCGGGACCACATATCGCGTCAATATCTCCTGAGATAGCCTCTCGTGCAATACAAAGGTTGATTGTTGCTCAGCTGAGACACTCTGAATTCGACTCAGCTGAACCACGAGCATTGCAGAGATTCGAGTATGAGCTAGTTGCCTGTTCGTACCCACTTCCCCTTTATTTAGCGCCTTCAATGTGCACCTCACTCATGTTGTTGAAATAGTCATCCAGCTAATCTACGAACGGTCCCATGAATATGCCAACCTAGCGAATAGGGCAATCCCAATTGCTAAAGACATGTTGCTGGCTTGCGAAGAGCAGAACTTGAAAACGAAGGATCTACATCAGGTTGTTGAAGATTTTTCGAACCAAAATTCAGGCAAGTCACAGCGATGCTATTCGAGATTGAACTGTCATTGACACAGTTTTTAGAAGGCGCTGGAGTGCTTAAGCCACCTACATTGGTTCTCCCACTATCGCGGTCACCTTCGCCTGAACTCCTGCCTTCTGACGACGAGGGCGCCGCACCAGCTATCCCTGTCACATTGCGTACTCTTCCTTCATATTTCCCAGCACTACCACCAAAGCATACTTATCTCAGAACACCCGTATGTGCAATATTTAGCTTCTCGTAAGATATCAAAACAGCTAATTATTATACCTTATAGGCTTCTCCACCAAAGAAGGCAGCTCTGCCATCGTTGGAGAAGAAGCTCAAAAATGCGGGCCTTGTTCAAGACTCTTTGAAGAATCTTCTATTAGCAACTGAGGATAATGTTGGACAGGAGGATGGCGAACTCCTGGGACATATCGTAAATTGGGAAGCATCGACCTACCCCAGAAAACGATGGAGGGTTGAGAGTTAGTCCAACGTTTTTCTCTACCTTTAATTTTTCATGATTCACTTTGGGAGGTCCGAGCGATAACACTCTTGGCAATACAATATTGTGGTACGAAAGAGCTGGCGTGAAAGGGGTACCTAACGACATTTGTTGTGTCATTCAGATATGATACAGTACTGCGGATCAGTGTTTTTGTCCCTAGTAGAACATTTTCATTCTGCAAAATGCAAAATGTGTCGTCTGAATACTAAGTAGGTATGGGTCTTCAAATCTACACGATGAAGACAAGCTATGTTGAAGTACTAGTCTTTCTCGAAGTTCTTTGAGGTTGTACTCTCGTAGGTGGAACTGTTGTAGTCGGCTTTTTTCTACCACCCTTTGTGGGCTTGATTGGAGGCGCATTGGTAGCCAGAGAATCATTTAAATGGACCTCCTTGTCGTTATGAACGATCTCAGGATTTGTAGATGAAAGTTGTGATCCTGCCAGAGTGGTATGAGTTTCAAGATAACAGATCGCGGATGAAATGGAGGGCGAAAACAGTGGGTCGTGTATACTTACCAGATGGCGGACCTATATTTGCTTGAAAACCGATCGAATCTGGTGGCCTCGCCTCGGCGCGTCCTACATCTACGAGTGAAGCATCACCTGAACGTGTCAAATAACACTTGATGAGTATAAAATACACGACTTATTATGAGTTGCATACCATTCGCGTCAATGTCTACGTTACTAGTTCTAATTGATGAGCCTATGTTTTCCCGATCCTTTCCCTTCGCATTTCGGGGAGCTGGTCGACTAGTTTTGCGTTTTTTTGTAGGGGGCGCGGCAGCACTATCTCCAGGAATGTTCTCATGTGACATAACCACCGACTGGCTAACACCTGCTACACCTCCAGATACGCTCTCAGTGGCCTTTTCCTTGCCTTTGCCTTTGCCCCTGCCTTGATCTTTGCTCTTATCTTTGTTAGTGACTTCCGTCTTTTTGGTTGGCGATGATCGGTTGTCCGGATATGAAGCAACAATGGGATCGACAAACTGGATATCATGCTTTTTAGTAGGCCTTGGCCTCGGTCTAGGCTTTGGTGCTGTCACTTCAGTGGTTTGCTGGTCTGCAACATTCACAGTGGATGCAGCTGGAAGTACAGTGGACTTGGTTTTGCGAGGCCGTGATGCTTCTCGAGATGGGCCGCTAGTGGACAGAGAAGAAGCAGGAGTTATGTTTTTATCTTTCTTCTTCAGCGTCTCATAACGATTACGGCACTAATAAAACGCGTCAGAAAACCTGTGATCGCTCTGAAGTTGGCGACTACATTACCATGTTATCTGTCCTTCCGCTCATACGACCACTGATCTCTTTCCAGCTCGCTATTCCTAGAGTATCGATTGTCTCCATCAACAACCTATCCTCATCATCTGACCATTTGCCATTAGATACAGAAGGGTTAAGTTTATCCATCCATCGGTCTCTGCACTGGTCGTTATTACGGCCGGGAACGACTGAGGCCACATCAATCCATGAGGCGCCAAATGCAGCATAAGCGAGGCGAAGGCGTTCGTCTTCTTCTGGAGTCCAAGCACCTCGTTTGAGGCCTGGATCAAGAGAACGATAGTATCGATTTGTGCATTGAGCGGGAGTAGCATCTTCCGATACATACCGAGCAACTATAGCTACAGTCAGCAATCAATAAGCATTCTGAGAGCGTAACGACATACTTAGATGCCAGTTTTCTGTGCCATAACGGTCCATAGCTTCCATAAGACGCTTGTCTGACTGAGAATCCCAAACGTGAATTTTCCTAGTAATTGCATGCTTCATGCAGTCCAAAGGAGTGCGCTTTGTCTACCCAGCGGATTATCATTCATTTGGCAGATATATGATCAATGAATGGAAGCTTACCCCAAGTTTCTCAGCTATGTCTACCCAGTCCACCTGTCCTTCCGGAACGTCACTCACCATGGCCTTTAATCGCGAAACTTCTTCCTGATCCCAATTCGAATGATTAATCTCTGGATGACGATCACCCAACCAACGTATCTCACACTCTCTGGAAGATCTAGGAGTAGACGAAACTGAAGATACCTACCAAAGCATCACATAAAGTCAATGCTAAAAATAACACTGACACCCACTTTCTCAGCAACTCGACCCCAGTCGATGCCCGCTTTGTTGAGTTCGAGATAATTTGACGGTTGGTCTGTTATAGCTGCGAATGCTCTGTGCCCTCTGAAAAGTTTGCGATGTCAGCGGTATCGAACCCGAAAAGTTGGTTTTCATACCGACTCTGAGCATCTAGTGCGTGCCTGCGATAATTCTCAGTCCTGACTGCCTCTGTTAGAGCTTCAATTTCTCTGTACTTCACTTTTTATTAAGCATAAGATTGAGAATGAAGCGTATGGTCAAGGCTACTCACTAGTGTGCATCTCCGTAAAGTTAAGATAGCGGGTACGCCTTGCAGCATCTTCGTAGAATGGCGAGTCCTGAAAACGTTGGATGAGACTTGGCAGCACGACATATCTGGCGAGAAATTACCTGAGACGATAGGTCGGCAGGGGCAATTAAACCTATAGGCTTGACTGAACCTGGGACAAGGACGAATCCTCCGACATCGAGTTCAGGTTCTTCGTTCTGATCAGCTGTATCAACTGCATCCTACACCAAAGGTTGAAAACATCCAATACTGTATGACTGTATGTAGACATACCAGCAATTTGTCCACAGTTTCCAATTCTGCCTCGAGCCTTTCTGTGTAGATCTTCAATGCATGTTGGTGATCTTTATTGGCTTGCACAGCATTCTGCGCTAAGGTCCGTATGCTGCTTTCTCCTTTGTCGTCTGTCATTATTTCAGATATGTTGATATGTTTCCAGTCAAAGAGGTGGATGCACTGGCATGATGATGGCAAAAGACAAAATTCGCGGAGGTGGAAAATCAGGTTTTGCAGGCATACTTTTCTCAGCCTCCAATCAGGGTTTGTTTTAAACCGCGTTCAGGAACTCCAGGTCAACCAAATGGCAAAAGGTTCTCAGAAGCGTATCGGTGCGTTTTAAGGTGTTTTATGGCTGAAAACATCTTTAAAGCTCTTCACGGTCCAGCTGGGCAAAATGAAAAGGCCGTCAAGAATCTCAGGCTCGGGATGATAGTACCAACTATATTGTCTATTGTGCTCCGTCTCATATTCCGACGAAGCTCTCTCCCTCCATCGAAAGGTGCTTTGGCAATATATATTCTCACATATCTACCTGCTCTCTTTCTTTCTCGCTATCTGGAAAACATCGGGACTTCCAGGCGTGATCCAACGACGGGAACACTCATATCGTCAGGTGAAGACTTAAATCAGTCCGGAGTAACCGAGTGGTGCTTTGATATCTTGTATGTTACTTGTGAGTTATGATGCGTGCCATTTTGTGAATGATCTCGAAATCTGTATCTTTTAGGGGGTTGTCAGATCGGCAGCGGGGCATTTGGTGAATGGGTTTGGTACCTATACTTGGTCGTGAGTTTATTTTCGTCATACCAATCGCTCGCCTTTCATAAATTTTCTCGATTTTAGATTCCATTATACGCCTTCTTAAAGCTTTGGACTTCATTTATATCCCCGATGGTACTGGGCAGATCTTCAGCACCACCAAGTGAAGAAACCACGGAAAAGGAGACTCTCAGCAAGAGGCAAGAAAAGCTGCGCAAGAGAGGAGAGCGAGGCGACCCTCGCGTACGAGCTTCGAGGAAATAGGCCTCAATATCTGTATTTTGTCCTTATCTATGCCCTCAGCAGGGCTCAGTTTTGCATACAATCATAATATGATCCGTTCATAATGTCTGCTCAGATACATGGCTTGCTTCCAAAATCGTGAATCCTTATTTATGGATACCAGTACAATGAGAGTGACAGCGAGACAGGAAATGTACATACAACAAAGTGGAAGGCATAGTGCGAGATATAACATAAAGAAGAAAAAGAACCCTTACCTTACCTTGACGTAATATGGCGTTTAACATTGCAAATCTTCCACCTCCCAAACACCATAAACACCCCATATACCCTGTGGATGATAAATTCAACAGACATCGCACTCAAGGATCGTGAGTCGAGCTAACCTTGTCTTCACAATACCTGGGCCCTTCGAAGTGAAGACCATGGAAGTCTGCGGGAGTAGTGGAACACATCTGGTTCCAGTCATCACCTTTTGGGATATTCCAAAGCCGTGATTGGATTAACTAATTAGAATAATCAGCATCATTTCATAGTTGAAAGAAGGTTGAAAGACGTACCCGAGTATGCGATCCTTCATTGGCACAACCCTGCAGGAGAATTGAAATAAAGTTCGCTAGCAGTAGATGAAATAGCTTACTTTGTCGTCAAATGTGCCCCAGTACGGCTGGCAAGCTGTCTCACCGGATTTGACTAGGAAGTGCCCATACATGCCATTAAAGTATCCCTGCGGAATGTATCAGAATGTACGCGTTTGTGAATGACACTGAATACTTACTCGGTTTTCGCATCTGTAAGGGTGGTCGAGTTTAACATCATGGATCGTTATGGGAGTATCCCAGCAGCCTTTCATACGATCATAAGTAGCCGGAAGATTCATGAGGCGGGCAGTGTATTCGCGTGTCCCATACGCGTAACAGTGGCCCTCGCTTTGCACTTCATCCCAGTATAGGCCAAGCCGTATTCTTTCCTCCTCTTCGCGCCTTTGCTGTTCCTCACGGCGGTGCCTTTCCTCCAGTTCCCGCTCTCTCTCCTGCCTTTGACGTTCCTTTTCCTGCCTTTCCTTCCGCAACTCCTCCTCATGCTCAAGACGTTCACGTTCCCATGCCTTTCGCAGAGCCTCCCATACCTTACGTTCTTGATTCCTTTGCTGGTCCAATTTTTCTCTTTCCCTTCGTAAGTCATCCTCGTGCTCCATGCGATCATGCTCCCACGTAATCCGTTCGGCCTCCCAAACCTTGTGTTCTTCTTCATGTTTCACCAACTCCAGGCTCCATTCATGACGCAATTCCTCCATTTTACCTGGATCCAAGACAGTTTTTGACCCCGATATCATCTTAGCATAGGACCAACCAAAACATAGTAGTATAATAACCAAGAACACGAAGAAGCCGCTGCTAGAATTCCCTTTCTGTGCAGTTTCTTTAGGTCTTGTGGGATACGCACCCGGGTTCAGAGGACTATGCTCGTTATAGGCATGCTCGTTTCTGAATGCAGGCTGTCATTTGGATGATTGATCAATATGAGTCAAATACGTACGGTGTGTATGGCGGGCGAGACTGGTTACTGATATAGTAGGGCGAAGCACTGCCATCACTTGCGGTACTTTCAGAAGGTCCGTAATACCCTCCAGTCTGGTCTGACTGATAGTACCGTTGAAAATGATCCTCAGTTGTATACGAAGGTGGAGCTGTGCTGTAGGGGTAATCGCCAATTATACATTGGAATTCGAGATAAGAACTCAAACACACAACAAGCAACTCACCTGGTGCCGCGGCGGGTTCTATCTCCAGGACCGCTGGAGCGCTGAGACCTCGACATTACAAAGGAATGGTTTGGCCTGTCTTGTTCTTGGGTAACCTGCTTGCCAGTAACACGAGTGTTGGCTCAAAGTAATGGTTAAGAGTGAGCCTTGAGGCGGCGTGGCCTTATTGATAGGCGCGGGAGGATCGCTGAGCCTAAATCACACGGCATTGTGCGTTTACTTGTATGCTTGAGCCTCACGCTACGGTTCCATTCCATTGAAGCAAACTTGTCGTTTTTCTTACTGGACTATACTGTCGTTCCCTGGTTTTTCGGATTTCATGGGTCAACCGGATGTCACAAAATAACGCTAAAGTCACATAATTGTCACACATGCCGTTTTGAATCAGCGCTCGGCATAAAATAGGTGTAAAATTTCCCCAATTCACTGATCACTGATCGTTCGTGCCACACACCAAGCGGAGCTCAATACGCACATCGGTAGCCTCGGCTTCGAGATCGAACATTACAGCTGCGTTACAAGTGCGTTACTTTGCACAAAAGTTGGATCTCACCAAATGCACCATTTTTCTCAAAATACCGCAAGTAAGGATTTCTGGGGCATAATAGTTACTGGGAGAAATAGCTAAGTAATACGGTAAGCAGACATCCTTATTTTGAGGTTGTCCGGTTGGCCCATGAAACCCGAAAAACCAAGGAACGACAGTATTAAAATGAATCTGGTTTCCTCCGCGATATACATAATTCGCCATTGCTGAATAATAGGGCGTAAAATCAGGTGCGTTTCCATTCTAATTCATATGACTTTCACAACTACTCCTACTCCTCAGGCTCAAGTACACCACTTTCCGGGACATATCGTAGACCTGCCATAGTCTTCACTAGCCATCATATGTCTGTTCTGTCCGGTTTGTGGTATGAGCGCTCAACAAAACTACATGGCCATTTTGGGCTCTGCAGTAGGGTACCCAAAACATATCATTTAATTATCGATACACTCAACATGCACCATATTATGTGTCTCATAATGTCAGTCATTGCGTGTCGATAAATGGAATAGGAAGTGAGAATACGATTACATGGCGAGAAAAAACAGTGGAAGTGCAAGTACGAATAAGAGGATACGGTTACAGCTCTCAGGAGACCTGAGAACTATGAACTCCAAGTTGAGTGGTAGCACAACAGAAACGATAACATTGTCAATACGATAGCGCCAACAAGTACTATTCATGGGCAAAGTCCCACAAAACTGAGATAAACTCTTTGGTCCTCTCTTTGGTCGTTTTAGCGTAATACGACGCCCGACATTTTAAATCTTCGATCTCCCAAACACCATACACTCCCCAAATACCCTTTCAATTTGCAGTATCATTAGATAGCACAATCAGGTATCAATAATTGAGCTAACCTCGTCTTTACAGTACCTAGGACTTTCAAAATGAAGACCGCGGAAGACCGCAGGAGTAGTCATGCACATTTGGTTCCAGTTTTCCCCCTTGAAGATATTCAAAAGACGTGACTCAATTCGCTGAACGTCATAATCAGTATCCTCAACCAAAGGAGATATACCAAAACATACCCGAGTACTACTTGAACCTTCAGCGGAACCTTCAGCGGCACATCCCTTTCAAGTGATTGATATTTCTAGTGCTAACCTTATACAGAAACCTATAAAGACTTACTTTATCTTCGAACGCTCCCCAGAAAGGACTGCAAGCTGGCTCCCCAGATTTGACTAAGAAATGCCCGTATATACCTTCAGAGTCTCCCTGATTATAGGGTCAGAAAGTAAATATTTGGGTTGGATAAATTGAACAGACAAAATATAATACGCACCCGATCTTCACATTTGTATGGATGACCTACAGTAACGTCGTGGATTGTTATTGGGGCATTTCGGCAACCTTTCATACCATCGTAGGCAACAGGGGCATTCATTAAGCGAGCAGTATATTCACGCGTCCCGTATGCATAACAGTGATCACTGCCTTGCACTTCGTCCCAGTACAATTCATGGCGGATTTTTTCTTCCTCTTCACGCCTCTCCTGCTCCTCACGTTGGCGCCTTTCCTCTGATTCTCGTTCCTTCTCTTTTCTTTTCCTCCGTGATTCTTCAAGTTCGTGTTCAAGCTTCTCACGTTCCCATTCCTTTCGCATAGCCTCCCAAACCTCGTGTTCTTGGTGCCTTTGGCGTTCCAGTTTTTGGCATTCCAGTTCTTCCCTTTCCTTCCGCTCACGTTTGCTTTCTTTCCGCAACTCTTCTTCGTGCCCAATGCGTTCACGTTCCCATTCCTTACGCGTAGCATCCCATAAATTGCGCGCTCGCTCCCTTTCATATTCCAATTCTTCCCATTCCTTTTCGTGTTCAAGGCGACTTTGTTCCCATGACATTCGGTCCCTGTCCCAGGCCTGGCGTTCTTCTTTGTATTTTGTCAACGCCTGTTCCCTTTCATTACGAAGCCTCTCCACCTCACCCATGGACCAATATAAGGCCACGACGATCGTAATAATGGCGAAGGCCACGACTATAGTACTCCGCTTTAGCCAAGATATCTTTGACAGGGAGTGCATTTGGGCTTAGAGGAGTGTTTTCATCGCAATGATCGTGATCGTTGCTACAGGTGAACACGAAATGTCATGAAGTTGAGTAACACATAAGAACCAACCAAAAGCATACGTTACGTAGGGAGCACGACAACGGCTACTACTACTGAGAGGCAAAAAGCTGCGGTGACTTGTGGTACTTTCATAATTTACGTGCATTTGCGATGCTGTAGCAGTGGTGCTATTGAAGTTGGGAGTTATAGCATTGAGTGTTCAAAGTAACTTGAATAAGAAAGACAAACGGTGGGGTATCTCACCTGCCAGTGGTACGGTTATCCTCCCCAGGATCACTGTGCTGGTGCAGCCTCGTCTCTGTCATTGTGAATGTTCAAGTTCGCTGGAAGAAAGGGAGAGCGGACTTTGCTTAAAACTGCGTGGCCTTATTTGATAGGCGCCGCGGGGCCAGATCGCTGATGCATACATAGTCGGATGAAATCGATTCACCATTTCACCGGCACTCTTTTAGTCCAAGATACAAAAACGATAAATAGTCAAATAACATTGACGATGCGACAGCTTCAACACATAGCATAGATAACAGTATCTAACAAAATGAAACGTTTACAATCCGAGTCAATGCTTACCTGTCAATGAGGAGAACAATGAACCAGAATAGCTATGAATACAAATGGTAGTACAACAGACACGACAGCCAGATATGGTTTGGGGATACAACGCAGTCGGCACGAAGTATACCTATCTTTGCCCGAGAAAGCAATGCAGGAGAAAAATCCTTCATCTCAGAGCGATGTAGCTTAGCATGCTGAATTTTCGACCTCCCAAACCCCATATACTCCCCATATGCCCTTCAAGTAACAATTTCAATAGACAGCAGCCAGAAAGCAAGGATTGAACTGACAATGTCATTACAATATTGAGGACCTTCAAAATGAAGGCCGCGGAAGTCTGCAGGGGTGGTGGAACACATCTGCTTCCAGTTTTCCCCTGGCGAAATGTTCAACAGCCGCGACTCAATTCGCTGAACATCAATATCAATATCTTTCCCTTACCCAAGAAGAGATCAATAAACATACCTGTGTATGCGAACCCTCAGCGGTACACCCCTTTTCGGCAGTTGATATCACTATTATTGACGTTATACACAAACCACCCAAAGACTTACTTTGTCTATAAATGCACCCCAATAAGGACTGCAGGCTATCTCTCCCGATTTAACCAGGAAATGCCCATAAATTCCATCGAAGAATCCCTAAAAATACTATTAGTAAGTCTAACATTAGACGAACATAGCACGCACTCGGTTTTCGCACTTATACGGATGATCTATAGTTACATCGTGGATTGTTATGGGGGTACTCCGGCAACCTTTTAGACCATCATACGTAGAAGGGAGGTTCATAAGCCGGGCAGTGTATTCGCGTGTCCCAGATGCGTAGCAGTGGTCACTGCCTTGCACTTCATCCCAGTATAATCCAAGACGGATTCTTTCTTCCCTCTCGAGCCTCTCCTGCTCTTCACGGCGACGTTGTTCCTCCAGCTCTCTCTCTATCTCCTTCTTTGCTCGTTCTATTTCTTCTCGTTCAAGTTCAAACGCCTTCCGCTCAATGTCCCAAACCTTGCGTTCCCGATCGTGTGCTGCCATCTCAATCTTCCACTGTTGGCGCATTGTTTCTAGCTGTTCCGGATGAATGATGCTCATCACCTCATTCCCCAGGTAGAAATTAATGCTCAGCTGAATAAAGAAGATTGCAAGAAGAAATTTGAAGAAATTGTTTCCCCATGGCAGAACCCATTTATCAGGTTTAGTGGAACATGTATTCTTGACCAAAGGTAAATCCTCGTTGCAATTATTGTAATAGTTGCTATTAACACGAGAAAACAAAAATGATATTAGATACAAGTAGTGAACGATGACAGTCACATACGTTGTGTACATGTAGGACTGGGAAGCTGTACCAGGCAACGCCCCGCCATAGGTGGCGTTCCTTTTGGCACAATTATGCGCAGATGCCTCGGTGTTTGTGGTACGTGGAGCACTTCCACCGCTATATTCAGAAGGTGCATATGACGATTCATCATCCTGAACCGACTCTCGACTAACATAAGAGGGCGGAGCCATGCTGAAATTGCATGGGCATTCGTGATAAGGACATGAAGCATACTGAGGTATTGGTCTCACCTTGTACGACTGCCGTTATCACTTTTGGTAGAGCTCTTTGTTATCATGATCGATAGTTCAATCCAGAAATATAGACAAGCTGTAGCCTGAACAGTCCCTGCGAGCGCCGTTCTATGCGCAGCGACGACAATTAACAAGCGGAGACCTTATTTTCAACCGCCGCTCGGGAGCCACGGAGAATCCAAAAGTAATAACTTCAGCACGTGACCACAACGCGTCTTTCTCTGTGGTGCCATCCATTGACTTCTGCTTTTTAACTTCACCATAACACAGTAAACCGACCCAATCTCACCAAGAAATGGCTTCTGAAGCTGACATAGAGTACTCTGGCGAGGAGGCACTTGCTCTTGACCCTCTAGATTTGCATATTGACCAGGACAGCCAAATGGAAAAGGTTATTGCTAGGGTTTCCGACAGGGATCTCGATAGTAACCGTGAATATGTTGATTCCCCCCCTTCTATTCAAGAAGTTGACTCACCTGATGTGAGTTGTTATCTACTTCCCAGGACCTGACTCGTATACGTGCATATATACAGGCTATCACTCGAAACGGAGATCCTCCTGACATCTGCCAGGTTGACCGAGACGAGACCGAAGAGCTTAAGGATATGGAAATACTCAGCAGTGATGGAGGAATAGGGACGGTGAGATATTCACCTATGGTTACACACGGGTTGATGGAATATCCCCATGAACAGTATGGCAGTGATCCCACCAGTATACTTGAAACGGAGCCAGAGGCAGCGTCGGACGTCGAAAGATGCTTGTCTGATACACCTTGCTCTCCGCAAAATGTTTCCTTTTTGACCCAGCACTTGGCACACAGTCTGGAAGGAGATGAGCGGAGCGAGAATACTGAAGCAGCCACGACAACAGGCCTAACAGATCCCATCCCACCGCTGTTGGAAAATGATCAGGACGACAGCTACGAAATGAGGAATCCGCATATATGTACCTCTCCGCCAACTGTTATAACTGCTGATCCACATCCTGCGAATCTAACCTTGCATTACGATCAGCAAGCCGAGATATTGGACTCATCCGCTCCGGATCTACTCAAGGACAGTTCTGTGGTAGAATCACCTCAAGAAATCGCAGAAAACTTGCGTTTTGCGTCATTCAGTAATCCTATCGATGGATCTACTACAGCCACATTCACTCACCTTGGAACAGCACCATATGAAATATCGTTTGCAGAAAATTCACAACCTGGGGACGAAGGAGAATTGACGCTGTCTCCGCTGCACGATGTTCCTTTGTCGTCTTTACCTCCAAGCTCCAGTCCAGGGCACATATTCTCTTCTTCGCCTATGGCTTGCTCCCAATCTTCTCTATATGACCCCGAGTCGAATTCAGCAAATCAGAAAAAGGTACTGAAGGTCCATGTAGGTTCCTTGACAATCAAGGAGAATGGCGCTGACTTCCTTAACATCGACTTCCGACCATACAGCATGATCAGTACGAAGTCCCCCAGTACAATGATGGTATATCTAGTCTTCCACCTCCATTGCTCGCTGTATGCGCAGCTAGTGGTGATGGTGATGCCTATCAAAAGAACACTGTAAGCTCGATACTAGATCATCACCGTACAAGGCTAATACCTTTCAATATAGTATCCAAACGATCGCATTGCGGCCATTTCGCAAGGTCTAGTGGTGCAATCCGCGCAGGATCCTGACACGATATTGGGAAAGCATAGACGTGAAGAAGATATTGTACGTTTCCAAGCTTGCTCTTTGCCTTCTGATATGCTTAGTGTGGTAAAACACAGGAAAATACTGAGCACACGGTATAACGGTAGTTCTCCTTATCGAATATGCTCGTCAACTGATTATCGCTATACACACCTGCAGGAACCAGTTTCCACAGGAGTTAGCTTACCTCCTGTGCCCAAGCGTTCCACTATAGCATCTCAACAGAGACAATACAAGAAACTGACAACCCCGTTCCGGTCCCCTTTGATGACAAAAGAAGAGATTTCCAAAGAGAACAAAACAATTTGCGTTGTTGCCCAAGTCGCGAACAGCTCAGTTGCTGTTGCTCGAAATGAAGACCGTAAGAAGAAGAAACAGAATGCTAAAACCGACATTCCTGTTGATACAGCCGAGACGGCGCCCATACATTTGAGAAAGAAGACTAAAACATCCAGAGCAGCAGCACAGTTCAAGTCTCCCCTCCCTTCTTCGGGTGTTGCTTCAACACCCCTGCTCTCGTATGTTCGGCTTACGCCGGCGGTTCAAGCGCTAGAGCGCAAATTACAACTGCTCAAACGTGCAGTAAAGGTGAAAAATGGTGGCGAGGAAGATATGCTGGCAGCGCTGGTGAAGAAATGGACGGAGGCGGGAAGAGAGGTCGCGTGGGAGGTATGGGAGTATGTCAAGGAGGCCGGTGCCGAAAGGGCGAGCGAGCAGGTCATCGGCATGGGGCAGAAGAATATTTTCCAAGAAGGCTGGGGATGGGAGAAACCGGAAGGACAGACGAGTAGCGGGGATCGTGACGATGGGAACTGGGGGTGGGCCTCCACTGATAGTAGGTGCGAGGAAGGAATTGGTAAATTAGGGTATGATAACGACTGCGACGAGAAAGAATGCAAGTATGAGCAGGAAGAGGACGAGGAGGATAGGAGGCGAGACACGCTGGGCACCATGCTGAGAGAATTACACATCGCGCCCGAAACGTTGGGGTGGGACGACGACGAAGAGAACTTTGTCGATGGCTGAGACCTATAGATCTTGTTTTGCCTTCGCTATCCATGTACCTGTTAGTGGTTAAGACCTGATTCCGCAGATTGCGATCCTTTTGTCATTGTGTGGCGAATCGAACGTTCGGGAGTAGGATATCGAGTGCACGTGATGACAGATTCATAGAACCAGAACTTGCATCTTGAATGTGTCCTAACTGAGGTGCCCTTTGAATCGTTGAAAATATGCCCACCAGTCCATTTGTACTTGTCAGTCCGTCAACCAGGGGCCTCTCTCTCGCAATCACTCGACACTTTTTGCGGACGACTTCCCTTCCGATCTATGCAACCCACCGCTCAGACGATCCCAATGATGTCCGAGACAAGATCCTATCTTCAATCGAAAACGTAGATTCAGAAAGACTGAAGATGATTCCTTTGGACCTCACCTCGGAAGACAGCATAGCTTTTGCAGCTGAAACGCTTTCCGACTCCCTGCCTAAAGACAAGGAATCGTACCTGCATACAGGATTCTTCACAGGAGGCATGCTGATCCCTGAGAAACAACCCTCCGACTTGGATGCCTCCTCGTTGCAAAAGACCTTTCAGAAAAACGTCATTGCGCATCTCCTGCTCATAAAACACTTCTCTCGCTTTCTTCCCTCCGCCAAGCACAAGGTCGACATGAAGGAGCCAGCGAAATGGGTGCATTTTTCGGCACGTGTGGGCTCCATCTCGGATAATAAGACAGGCGGGTGGTACTCGTACCGGGCGTCGAAAGCAGCACTAAATCAAGTGGTGAAGACTTTTGATTTACATCTGCAGATGAACAGGACGCCGGCTATGTGTGTTGGGGTGCATCCTGGAACGGTGAAGACAGAGCTGAGCAAAGATTTCTGGAAGAGCGTCCCTGAGAGCAAGTTATTTAAACCTGAATACGCAGCTCGGTGTCTAGTAGATGTGGTGAAAGACCTGAAAGAGGACCAAAGGGGGAAGGTTTGGGATTGGGCAGGTAAACAAGTTCCTTGGTAAGACAGAGTGTATGTCGAATTGAACCTGTTGTAACTAGAAAGAAAGAAGGAAAAAAGATTGAAAAGACATAGACCCTCGTGAAGGTTCAAAGGCTCAGATCAAGCTGAGAACTGAAAAATTGGTAATGCGGCATTAGAGCGAGGGCAACCCACGGAACGCCCTAGTAAAAGGCGAGGGCGTTGTCTGTTTGAGTTACCCACTGCCGCTTACTTTCTTAGGGAAAGTGCTGCGCCACACCACCGCACTTTTTGATTTGGTTCAGTTGACGGGTGGGAAGCGAATCTTGTATCCACTACCTTTTTGGGTGTCCCCCAACTACATCCTCACCGTCAAGGGCGTCTTCAGCTCAGGCAACCATGGCAGACGACCAGCTCAGAACTGCTGTATCAACAAATATCAATGCTTTACTTACCTCTGGACGAATCTCAACACCAATAAGCTCAATGGACTTGCTTGTTACCCTCATATCTTCTTCGAGGGCATCCAGGATATTAAGCTCGACTCCGTTGCTGCGTTTGACTGATCTACCCCGTCTTGAATTAATCCTTGAAAGCTTGTCAAAAAACTGGGAACATGGAGCAATATCTCTGTCACACGAAAGTGGTCATTTGACTGTCATGGATATCTCTCAAGGGTCCCATAACCTTCCCGATGCTGTGAACACCCGGAAGAGAAAGAGGCCAGTCGACGAAGATGCCGATTCCGCTGCTGGAGATGATGAGCAATCCTCTAGAGACTCCAGCCCTCCTCCTATGCCATCCTCGTCCCCTCTGGGAAGTCTCAGTAAAGAGCTGAAGGAGGTTTATGCCATCTTACAGAAAAGTACGGCTAAAGGACGGTTGCTAGCAGAACAGGCATGTACACAGAACCATCAATCATTTTTATTGTGCCATTTATCTTATACCGTACTGCTAGTTTCGATCAGTCGACGGTGATTTTGAACCCATATGCGCTCATATCACTAAGGATGAATGTGCCAAAACCCGACGCACCACATCGCTACCTGTGTCGAATAGCTCACATACCAATCCTGCCATCTGTGATCGTGTTCACTTCAGGCCTCTTCTTCGACCGCATACCGATCCCACTCTTGGTCATTGCTCCTACCTTAATACCTGTTACTCGGAGCCAACATATGCACAGTCACCATCAATCCCACCGTTCCCATCGTCACACCAATCTCGAGTTTCACTTCCGTCTGGCCTTGGTGCAGGAGGAAGGGGGAAAGAGAAAGCCCCATGTCGATATCTTCATTTTGAAATAGACTGGGATGAGAGGGACGCACAGTTGATGGTCGCAGTGGGTGCTACAGGGAAAGAGAAGACAACAAAAGAGAAGCCTTTCAGACTGGGAATTGGGATGGGCCCAGATGGGAAGCACATGCAGGTGGTAAGTTCATCGCCGATAATCATGGTTCTTTCTCGTAAACTTCATTTCGTCTACCACTCAAGCTACCACCACAATGGATCAATTGTGATCTTCGCCGCTTCGACTACTCCATTCTAGGTAAATTTCACGTTATCATGGCAGATCCACCATGGGATATCCATATGAGTGTAGGCCTTCTTTGCAATTTCCGGGGCTCCGTCCTAAGAAAATTCCTGTAGTTGCCGTATGGTACAATGACAGACGATGAGATGCGCGCAATGCCAATCCCAGCACTCCAAGATGAAGGCATGCTTTTCCTTTGGGTAACGGGACGCGCCATGGAAGTGGGAAGAGAGTGCCTCCGCGTTTGGGGTTATACTCGCGTAGACGAGGTGGTGTGGGTCAAAACGAATCAGGTAACGCAAGCATTCTGGCCTCCCTATGATAGCTCTGCGTTTATTCATTCAAATGTCGGGTTTTCTTTGTATTGTTCCGTACAGCTACAACGTGTCATCCGCACTGGACGAACTGGGCATTGGCTAAATCACACCAAAGAACACATGCTGGTGGGCGTGAAGACGCACACAGACGACGAAGGAAACCTCAAGTTTCCGGCGTGGGCGAACCGTGGACTAGACACAGACGTCATTGTGAGCGAGGTGCGCGAAACCAGTAGGAAACCAGACGAGGTGTACGGCTTGATCGAGCGTATGTGTCCCGGAGGAAGGAAGATAGAAATCTTTGGGAGGAAGCATAATACGAGGCCCGGGTAAGTTTGCCACCGTTTATTCGATTGTATTGAGTTTCTACTGATGCTGTGCGTTTGTTGATCCTTGCAGGTGGCTGACGCTTGGGAATCAGCTGGGTGCAGATCAGATATATGAGGAAGACCTTGCGGCGAGAATCAAAGCGAGGTATCCTGAGAGAATGACAGGGGCGGCACCCACTGGTGGACGTCGATAAGAAATTTGGCAAGGACCTATCAGGACATCCGGGACTACAACGTAGGACATTTGTGCATCTCCATCATGTTGTCAATCGCTTTCACGGACTGCTGTTGTACAACAGTTACCATATCACTTCTTGTAGCCTCCACTGTATCTGTACAATGATGGTGCTGTGATTGCTTAAATAATCTAATGAGTACAGGTCTACATACGTGTGTCCGAATCCCTAAAGACCCGTCTATTAGTGCAACAAATGTTCTTAAGGACGTCCACCCAGATTACCCCTATTATACCTGTAATTCTACAAAAGATACCCTGTAACACATCAAGAACTATTGTCATTTGGAGTGGACTGTCGCGGTTGCTTGGGTGGGCGATCCAGTTCCTTGACGAGAAGGTCATTCACTGCCCTTGGGTTGTCTAGATAAACTGTAGTAAATGTATTAGCTGATGCGTTGGCGAAAGTGGAAAAGAAAGAGAAGTAGAAGAAAAGAGGAAAGGCTGACCATGGTGTCCGGCGTGAGGCACGATATACATTCTGCCTTGCTCATTGCCAGCTTTCCGAAGGTTTGACACAGATTTCGAGCCACCTTCAGGATCCATCCAGTCATGATCTCCATCTTTGAGGACATATCAGTAATCTGTAACTTGAGAGTGTAGAAAAGGGTACGAACAAACAAAAGTGATAGGAATCTTGAGCGCGCCCACCCGGTCAACGAGAGGCATGCGTGCATGTGCGCCTGGTGCCAAGATGTGTGCTTGCGAGAAACCATCAGATGAGAAGTGGCCGAATCACGAAGAAGAACAAGCTTACAGATACAGTATTCACCAGAACCCTTAGCTAGAGTGATGTTGAGAATGTAATCATGCATATCCTTAGTTTCGTCTGGGCTGAGGCCAGAGAATCGGCGGGATGAGTACTGTACGCGTGTCCATGTCAGAAGACCATCTGGAGATCGATCGATAGAGAAATCTTACCTTTCCGACTAGTAGAGGGCCCCAGAACAAGGATGATCTGATCACCTGAAATGGACTCCAACCCTCCTCCCAGAGATACGTGAAGAGCTTGGCGGATCGACTTTCGTACCTCTTCTGTGCCTTCTGTTCGTCCTTAAGGCGTTTAACCTCGCCCTTCGAAGCTGCTATCGCCGAATCGCTGACACTGCTGGCTGCATCTCCGGTATCGGTCAATTCTCGAGATGGGATATCAGTGTTGTTCGGATCCCGAGGAACTCCGGCAGGTGAGAGTAAGATAAGCTTGTTGACACGTGTAGGATAACGGAGAGCGTATGCGACACTGAAGTAAGCACCAAGTGAATGGCCAATGAGTGTCATCTTGTCCAAATCCATTTTCTCTCGCCATTCCTCAAGTGAGTCTACGAAAAATGATTCTGCTTCTTTGACGCGGCCGGCGACATCGTCGCGTTTAGCTTTAATGGTAAAAGGCACGCGAGCAGAGCGGCCCATTCCAAGCCAATCGAGTGCGTACACATCTGTTCCACGGTGGCCTGCCCACTGGGCGAGCGTTGGGAAGTTGCGGAAGAAAAATGCGAGGCCCGCACCGTAACCATGAAGTACGACTGCAGGGGGTGGGGCAGAAGGTGATGGGGAGGTGGACTTGATGGACAAAGTATTGATGTAATGTCTCGGGGTGGCTAGTGTAACCTTCTCATTGTGTGCTATCACTGGGCTATCATCATTTGGAGAAGTCGAAAGTTGCTCCGGAATAAAAAACGGGAGTCTCCTGATTATTAGTCAAGTTGGCTGAGTGATGGGGAGCTAACACGTTACTTATTATGAGTACCTACCTTAGTAGACGTTCTTCAGAAGCTGCACCCTGCTTCTCCCCAGCTGCCCACCTATCGGAGCGAATCAGCTATGCATTGAAGAAAGACTAATTGAAACTGATGCGTGCCAGCTCCGTAAGCTTGCTGTAAACGTGACTGGGATATCTCGAGCTGGAGGCAATGGGAGGAAGGGCGAAGAGTTGGCTGCTGAGGCTGTCATTGCTGCAGCGGACCTGCGAAGAATATTAAGAGCAGAAATGCTGGATGATGGTGGTTGAAGACAAGAGGGTATAAAGAGGATAAAGAAAGACAGAAAGGAGAGCACAGGATGGAACGAGGACAAGCAAATTCACTTGGTACGGTCCAGTATATCTAATAAATCTAGCTCTGCCGGGCTTGCGTTACAAACGTGCCGGGGCAGTGCCGTGTGCGGTTGCCTGTGCCGACGCCAAAGCCGATGCCGGGAATACTCGTGGTGGTCCACGTACCAGTAGACCGCCTCACGCCACAAAGACTTTGGGATCGTAATTGGAACTCCGCATGTGAGCCATTCTTTCTTCAACACACCCAAGCTCGACGGTGTAGCGATGTATAACGGTATAGGTCTTACCACACCCCGTGGAAGGTATGTGGTACTTTAATTCTTGGTGCTTATATGCGCTCACATGCGCTTTCAGCGGTACCAATGGATATGTCATTCGTAATTTATCAACTCTTCGTGTACATCAAACAGCTGCAGAGAGAGCCGCTGCTTGGGACGTAGCTCCCCCGAAACACAGGGAACCGGATGAAGCCATATTGGAGCATGAGCGTAAACGAAAAGTTGAGGTCAAATGTCTGGAACTTCAACTAGAACTGGAAGACCAAGGGTATGTTATGTCCATGCTTTATAATTTATCGCTGACACCTCATCTCGAATAGTATGGACGACGAAAAAATTGAAACACAAGTTGACGAACTGCGTGAAAAACTCTTACAAAATCTTGCCTCTTTACCCTCATCGGCTAAAAGTTTGCGTCCTTCCGACACTCATGGCATTGCTGCTGCCAAGAAAGCTGAGCTTAGCAAAATGGCTCGTGCGCTTGGTACACGCAGTAATTATTCCGAGGGAGAGGCGTTCGATTGTGAAAAGCAGGAGGAGAATCGGTTGCGTCGCTTGGCAGAACGGGAGGAGAGGGATAAGAAAAGAGAAGAAGAGCGTGCCAAGATGCTGGAGCAGCGTCAAAAGTGGGAAGCAGAAAAGAAGGAGCGTGATCGTCTCAGGCGTAGAGAAGAGGATAGGCTTAGACAAGAACGAGAGGAAGCAGATTTGAAAAGGAAAGAACGGATGCCCCCACCCCCACTACCCCCTTCCAGAGATAGACCGAGGGATGTTCGTGAACGTGGCCGCTACCGCGACAACGCTCGTGACAGGCAAAGTAGGAGTCCTCTTCGCCCAGAAGATCGCGAACGAGACCGAGATATACGTCGCCGTCGTCGTTCACCTTCTTATTCTCGTTCTCGTTCGCCTCCACCCCGCCGTTCACCGTCCCCAAACCAAATAAAATCGCGATCACGTTCTCCCTATGTGAGTAGGGACCGATATCATCGTTCAGGGTCACCAGTCCCGCCGTCCAGGCGTTCCCCCCCTCCGACACCACCCCGTCGGACACGCTCACGCTCAGAGTCACCTCCTTTACGCCGCGCCCGTCGTCATTCAGAGTCGCCACCGCCAAAACGCATCCGCGACCGGTCGGATTCTCCACCTCCTCGACGGACTCGGTCACCGTATCATCAAAGTAGAGGCAGAGATATGGATGTTGACAAACCTCGTGGCAGACGAGCCTCAGTATCGCCTCGCTCTGATCACAGCGGGCGATCGCGCTCTCGGTCCGCTAGCTCCTCGATGTCAGTCAGCACTGGAAGAAGTCGATCGAGGAGTGCTAGTCGAAGTGATTGATTGTAAACATGCGTTCTTGTTCTGTTTCCTGTCTATACTGCTTGATTGTTTTTTAAAACCGGTTTATGTGTATCTGTACTGAATTCACGTACTTCTCGAGCGCAAGCCCTTTGATTTCGAACGATCTCAAGTGCTATTGGATCGGTTGTTGCAATGCTTAACAGCGCTCAACGTTGAGCTCAACAGATAAAGCCTCGTTGACTTGGAATATATTACAACTCAACTCCTCACGGGTCCCTCTTGAGCTTGTTTCGCTACTAGCTGGATAACACCGACCTTACTTATTCTGTCGAATCCTTTGTGCATGGCAATAGTAAACAGCTGAGTGGTTCGGTAATGGGCCCGTTGCCCCAGCTGTCAAAGTCCGAGTCATTCAAACGCATGCTGTTGCTGGACTGTTTATAACCAGACACTGCAGTGGGTCATTTGCTTCCTGTACTAAGGCTGTTGGCCATTACTCCAGACTACCGTCGTTGTACGGCTCTTCTGCACATAAATTCCTATAAGACACCTGTTCCTCATTTCGCATCGTCCTCCAGTTGTCTTTGGTCCATTCGAACGTTCATAAAATCCATTCAACTCAGACTTTGGATCCCCACATTCTCATTCTACACGTTCCCCGTGGTCGGCGCTACAGTATTTAACTAGCTAAAATGAGACCCACTACTTTGTCCCGGTTTTCTAGCCCTGCTGCCACCAGCAGAATACGACTTTTTGCAAATAGAAGGACACCTATCAATGCACGTTTTGCATCGGGAGTCGCACCCGAAGTATGTCTGTGGTCCTTTCAACCCTCATGCCAACTTTTAATTGTAATTCCAGCCATCAGCGAGCAAGCGCTACCTTTCCCCAACATATTCCTTTTCTTCGACCGTGTCACCAGAAACTGCGAATACCCTCGCTCTCGGAGACGAATATATCCTCGGCGTTTACGCACGACCTTCCCTCGTGCTCTCACATGGTCGCGGTTGCTGGGTGTGGGATAAGGATGGCCGGCGATTCCTCGACTTTAGTGCAGGCATTGCTGTCAACGCACTAGGACACTCAGACCCGGAGCTTGTCGAAGTAAGTCACTTATCATTGTATTTGCATGAAGTAGTGGACTTTGTTGGATTTTCGCTGCCTTTGCTGTGCTCTGCACATAACGTTGGACACCGGTTTAGAGGTCTATGCGGGTAGCACCGTTTTACACAAGATGCAGATACATGCTTTTTACTTCTCTCTAAAATCCGCCGAACCAGTGCTTATTTTTACAATTTACATTATAGGTATTTCAAACGCAGGCTTCGAAGCTTATTCACACTTCAAATGCCTTCCACAATGAATGGGCACCGAAACTTGCTAAGCTCCTCGTAGATCTTACTCAACGAGATGGTGGCTTGGGATATGCTGCTGGCAGTACATCGTCATCTGGCGCTGGTGCAAAGGTTTTCTTCGCAAATTCGGGAACCGAAGCAAACGAGGGCGCACTCAAAATTGCTCGTAAAGTTGGCAAGGACCGTTGGGCCGCCAAAACTGGCGGAAAGCCAGACGACCCCGCCTGCATCAAAACACGCATCGCATGCTTTGAAAGCTCGTTCCATGGGCGGAGTATGGGCGCTCTGAGCGTTACATCAAATGCGAAGTACCAGACGCCATTTACCCCGTTGATACCAAATATTGACCGCGGAGTGCTGAATGATCACTCATGCCTGAACGGGTTAGTAGGTGAAGACACCTGCGCTGTGATTGTTGAGTGTATACAAGGAGAGGGTGGTATCAACGGCGCTAATGAAGAGTGGTTGCGAGCGTTGAGGAAACGCTGTGATGAGATGGGTGCTGTACTGATCTTTGATGAAATCCAGGCAAGTACAGTAACAATTTCTCGACACTTGTCAAGAATGATTAATTGATGGGCATGCGTTTAGTGCGGAATGTACAGGACGGGAACGATGTGGGCACACTCGGTGTTCCCTGTGGACTGCCATCCAGATATGTTGACGGTGGCAAAACCCCTCGCAAATGGTTATCCCATCGGTGCTGTGTTGATGCGCGATAGCATTGCATTAACAATGACACCGGGTGAGTCACTACAAGCTGATGCTTGAATTACAGGAAGTTGACACGTCTACAAAATAGGCACGCATGGGACCACATTTGGTGGATCACCAATGGCCTGTGCTTTAGGCCATCATGTTTTGTCTCGCATCAGCTCACGGCCCTTCATCACCAATCTTCAGGAGACAAGCGCCTATCTCTCCGATCGGCTCGAGCTTTTGCCGAAGTGGTTCCCCGAGTTCTTACACCCGGAGGTACGCGGAAGGGGGCTGATTAGAGGGCTTGGATTTAAAAATCTAGAGCACCCTGGAGAGGTTGTTCGTCTCGCACGTGAACGGGGGGTTTTCATGCTGACGGCGGGTAAGGACGCCGTGAGACTTGTTCCCTCTTTGAACGTGGAGAAAGAGCAGGTGGACATGGCAGTTGACGTACTTGAAGGATGCTTGAGCACTCTACGGGGATAGATGGAGGATTTAGAACGATGTACAGAAATTCTTGGTACTTCTCTCCATGGTATCGTGGGTTGCAAGAATCTAATGCGGTTTCCACTTTGTGAAACGCTCTGACTTGTCGAGTTGCATCGGTCCATTCTGGCGTCCGCGTAAGGAAGTGATCCATGGCCGTCGGCAGGTTCGGTCACGTGCAGTGCAGCCAATCAGATGAGAACTATTTCCCATGTCTTATAAGGTTGCCAACGAAACTTATTCATAACAAAATTCTTCTGCCTTTTCGTTCCCCCAAGTAAGTTACGTTCATTCCATACCGTCAAACCGTACTAAGGCTATACGACTTCGCTGCAACTAGCCAGCTTGGTACTAGCTCGTTTCTGCTGCATATATAAGCTCAGTGACTGCAGTCGGGCACTCCTTAAAATCGTACAATGGAGAGGCTTTCCTCACTTGCTCGCTTCAAAGCGTCCTGTCCGTTCTTGGGCAGGACACAATCCACTACTCTTCGTAGTTTGTGCACATCGTCTTCCCCGCGCTTCCCCTCGCTCTCCAAATTGACTGAGACGGCTACACAATGTCCTATCATGGGTCCAGCTCTTGCTATGCGTTCCACTCAAATGGTTGCTGGATATGCCAGTGTCGCAGGCCAGGCTGACGTGCAGAAAATTCATCATAGCAAGGGCATCTTCCCTGGCACAGTTCTCTCTGATGCTGACATTGCCAAATGCCCCCATGCTTCGGCTGCTCGTGCTGCAGCTCGCATGGCCGAGGACCTGGCTGCTGCTTCTACTCCTGTGGAAGCTGCCAAAGCGGCTGCCGTTGGGTGTCCCTTCCATCAAAAGGCGTCTGCGAATTCTTCTACCGTGGCGCCTGCCAAGGAAGAAGCTGCCGCCGAAGATACGCCTGGTGCATTCAGTTACGGCCAGTTCTACAATACAGAGCTCGACAAGAAGCACAAGGACCAATCCTACCGCTACTTTAACAACATCAACAGGCTTGCGGCTAAATTTCCAGTTGCTCACACTGCCAATGTCAAGGACGAAGTGGAGGTGTGGTGCGCAAATGACTACCTAGGCATGGGAAATAACCCGGTTGTCCTTGAGACTATGCAGTGCGTCTCCTTCTGTTTACTGCTGCGACTAATCTTCATTAATTAATCCGGTCGTTTTCTACAGTCGAGCACTCGATAAGTACGGCGCTGGAGCCGGTGGTACTCGTAATATCGCAGGCAATGGTGCTATGCATCTCGCTCTTGAGAAAGAGCTTGCTACCCTTCATCGCAAACCGGCCGCCCTCGTCTTTTCGTCTTGTTACGTCGCTAACGACGCTACGCTCTCTACACTTGGCTCTAAGCTACCTGGTTGTGTGTTTTTCTCTGACTCGTCCAACCATGCGTCTATGATTCAGGGCATACGTCACTCTGGTGCAAAGAAGGTTATTTTCAAACACAACGATTTAGAAGACTTGGAGCAAAAGCTAAAAATGTGGCCTTTGGATACTCCGAAGGTAATTGCCTTTGAGAGTGTATACTCCATGTGCGGTAGCATTGGCCCGATTAAGGAGATTTGTGACCTGGCAAAGAAATATGGAGCCTTGACATTCCTCGACGAAGTTCATGCTGTCGGACTGTACGGTCCCCGCGGTGCGGGTGTAGCTGAACATCTTGATTACGAGGCACACAGAGCTGCTGGTCAAAACCCTGAGCCTGTTAGGGACAGCATCATGGATCGTGTGGATATTATCACTGGTACGTTATGCCGTCCCCTTCATTGTCGGATTTTGTCATTTACACTTTTATGCAGGTACTTTAGGCAAGGCTTATGGCACGGTTGGAGGGTACATCGCTGGCTCGCACAACTTTGTCGACATGATTCGGTCATACGCTCCCGGTTTTATCTTCACTACATCTCTCCCTCCCGCAACGGTAGCTGGCGCCCGTGCTTCTGTCATCTACCAGAAGCATCACGTCGGTGATCGTGCACTTAAACAAGTCAATGTCCGCACTGTTAAAGCTCGTCTTGCGTCTCTTGATATCCCGGTTGTTCCTGGTCCTTCGCATATTATTCCGGTTCTCGTCGGCGATGCTGGTCTTGCAAAGCAAGCAAGCGATAAATTGTTAATGGAGCACGGTATCTACGTACAGTCTATCAACTACCCTACTGTTCCGGTGGGCGAGGAGCGTCTCAGAGTCACGGTGACCCCCCGCCATACCGCAGAACAAATGGACGGCCTCGTTGCAGCTCTCGATAAAACTTTCATGGACCTCAGCATCAACCGTCTCAGTGATTGGGTGAAGCTTGGTGGACGTGCAGGTGTGGGCATTGGCAAAGAAAACGAGGTCGAACCTATCTGGAGTGATATGCAAATCAAGGAAGCTGGTGCTCCACGTACACTCAAAAATGGCGAGCAGGCATACGTGAACAGCGACGCTGTTTCAACTGTCCGAGACAGCTTCATGGAATTGTTAGGCCCTATTATGAACGTGCAGGATGACAAGATTGACGGCAAGGTGGAGTCCGCTTTAGTTGATGGTGCACTGAAATTGGCCTCAGGAGCAATGCACAAGGTGACTTACGCACCAGAGAGGGTGGAAGTGCCTGTTGCTCCTATGGTTGCGGTCTCTGCCTGATTTACAAGTCCGTCGCTATCATGCGTGGTCACTTGCTAGTTTTTCTATTACGTTACTGCTGTCTGTCGTTTACTTTGTTTCGATTCTACATCTTTCCCGCTGGGGATGCTGTACTATCATCCCTAGCATTACAGGAAACGTGGAAATGTTATCATGTTGCATCCCAGTTATTAGGTTAGTCTCTGGTGAGCAGACATGATGTCACCTAGCCTTGATATCGTACATTTCATGCCGCTGTCGGGTGTGGGGACTGGATGTGAATACCTAAGCAAATAATTGAGATGGGTGATACATAAGTATCATGTAGAGACCGATAACACATTCAATAGTGTACGAGCTCTTGATTCTTTTACGGTATCAATTTTGACGTCTTCTACATCCTGAGTTTTTGGAGGTTCTGTGGCAGATGGGTCTCCCACAGGCAAGGAGAGTTCTGGTGTGGATTGCTGTGGTTCAGGGGGTGACAATATGGATTGACATGTTTTAACGAGATTCTGGATGGTTGCACAAGTTAGTGAGTTGGAGGGCTATGGATACTGAAGAATGAAACGAAATGAAGTCCTTGCATACCTCCTTCACACCACCTTTCACGCCAGCGAGATACTGGACTAGTAGCGGGACATAATTTTCAGGAATCTGCGCGGGGCACAAAATTAGTCGGCCGCTGGGATAAGTATATCAGTGAGAAAGAGAAAGACACACAGCTTCACTCGACCATGCATTCCTAACAAGCCAGTTTTGTCGTGCTTTGTTGAACTTCCAATTTGGTGGGTCCTGAAACTGGGCATACGCATATGACAATGCTGAAAGACAAGGATCTATGTATCAGTGATAATGTACAACACAAGATGCAGATAAATCTATACCTTTGCAAGCTTGATTAGTCAAAACTGTGTCGTTTTCAGGGTCAGGATATGGGAGATCGTGATTTTTTCGTTTCTTTTTCTTCTGTGGCTCTTGTGAGTCGTTCAGTTTGGTATCGCCATTTTCTTCCGCCAGAGTATCCTTTTTCCGTTTCTTCTTCTTCTCTCCTTTAATCTCAGTAGAAATATCTTGTGTATCCTTTGAGCTTTCCTCCTCTGTCAACTGTAGTTTCCCTTCGACCAATTTTGTGGCTTTCTTCTTTTTCTTCTTTTCAACGGTCGTGTTTTCAACTAGAACTGGTAGAGAGTTTCCAGACACTCCTTCGCCGTGATCACCGAGAACACGTTTTTCCTTCTTTCTCTTTTTATTCTCATTCATTGAGCTATTCTCTTTCAGAGCTGCCTCATCTTCCACGCTTTCCTCGATCCTGCGTTTCTCCTTTCCTGATCTTTTCTTCAATGCGCTCTCTGCATCTACATCACTGTTTGACTCCACATCTTTTACGCGTTTTGGTTTCTTCTTCTTCTTCGTAGCTGACTCCTCTTGAGCATTTGAGGCTGTTTCATCGTCGATACGCTGGATATCGATACCGTCTGTAAATTTCTTCGGTTTTTTCTCTTCGGTTTTTACGGGAGAATGTATTGAAACATCGTCATTCCCGGCATCTATATCCTTCTTTTTAGATTTGCGAGATTTCTTGCTTTCTTTTGTGGCAGATTCGTCGATGGCCATTGATGTTCCGAGGAAAGCGAGACCTATATGCGTGAAATTGGCGACTGAGACGCGATTACTGGTCACTCCGGCTATGGCGGCAGTGCACGTGGCGAGGTACATGGGTCCCTGTAAAGTCGGACACAAGAATAGCCTTGTGAACGGCTTTCCCATCTGACCATTTCCCAAGTCTTTTTTCTTTCAATGGGCCTTACAATATCGACTCTTTTTTCATCGTTGTCGTCACTGGTACGATGGAGCAAAGACCAAGATGTCCGAATACTGATGCTGGGGCTTGATTCTGCGGGGAAGGTATGCATTAGTCACTCGTGCTGGACGCCTCATTTCTGAGCATCGGACCATCGTAACTGGGGTTTTGCAGACTACAATACTATACCGACTACAGGTGTGTATTGATCCGCATTGTTTTTGCAAGACCTCACTCATCTTTGGCGAAGATTGGTGAAGTAGTTTCTACAATACCCAGTAAGTAGTAAACTCAGGGTGACATTGCACGACGCTTACATTTGAATCAAGCTATTGGGTTCAATGTGGAAACAGTGCAAGTAAGTCGGGTCATCGTTGCATATAAATGCCTGGCTGTAATGGGCTTGGCAGTACAAGAACATCAAATTTCAAGTATGGGACCTTGGTGGCCAATCAAGTATACGGTGCGTTCCCTCAAATTTACCATTAAATTCCAACAATAGTTAATTATTACTCCTCAGGCCATACTGGCGGTGCTACTTCCCAAACACTTCTGCCATCATATACGTCATCGACTCCTCTGATCATGCCCGCCTAGCGACATCACGAAGTGAGCTGTTGACAATGCTGTCGGAAGAGGAACTTGCTGGAGTCCCGCTGCTTGCGTTTTGCAATAAGCAGGATGTTGAAGGTGCTTTGAAGCCAGAAGAAATTAGCGAGCAACTGGGGCTCGCAGGTGGAGAGAAATCAAGGCAGTGGAGTGTTCGAGGAAGTTGCGCCACCAAAGGTGAGGGTCTGGAAGAGGGGCTGGATTGGTACGCAAATATCTCCATCATCTGTTATACTTTGGTGGTATAACTGATAATAATGTCTGACAGGTTGGTAAACGCGATACAGAAGAAATAAACATTTCTTGGTTTCCGCAGTGTCCATCCTTGACGCGCTGTCCTATTGGATCGCATTTTGTTTTATCCCTTGGTGCTTCTTTGTCTTCTCTGACATTTGTCTATAATTTCGAACAATCTGGCATACCCATCTGTAACCCAAGAGTATTGATACTGCATCTAATTTTGTCGCTATAGATATTGATCTTCTGAATGTCAGCTCTCAGTTTTCTTAATGCTTGCTGCTATTTTAGCCACGTTCTCGACTTTGTTGAAGGTAACTCAACGACGTCCTTTTCATATGATACACCATGAGTTCGCGTAGAACGATTGTTTTTCTTATGTGCGTCCGCTCTGTTTTCAATCAATATCGACTGATCGCTCTGCAAACAGAAAATTGCTATTAATGGATCTAGTATAAGAGTTGAACTATCGTTTCAGTGAGATATCGTGCTGACTTTAGGCTTTTCTCCAGGTTGTGTCAATTGCGTTTTACTATGCAAATCAATTTGTGAAAATTATGGAACCGGCGGTCCCAGGGACCGCTAAATGGCTTGCTGGTATTGCCGATGAAGGTGTCGCAGATATAAAATTAAGCCAGCTATCACCTCCAGGATATCTTAATGGGAGCCCATTATCATCCAAGGACAGCCAAGTTGTAGTTATTGTGCTTCTGGGGGTCAACGAAGGTTGGAAGTATCAGCAATGGGATATGTCATGCATGTCCTTGCGTCGACCAACTCCAATTCCATCGCTGCTCCTCGGGCTCCGCAATGCATTTCTTGTACACCTCCACATCTGGCCTCCAAATCCGCACTGTGTGGTCATCTGCGCAAGATGCAATCATGTCCTCCGCCCAATCAACAGCGCTTATTTCGCCTTTTTGGCCTTGTAACTGCACCCCGTTTGGTAACCATGCTGGCGCTGACCTTGTAGAAGGAGAAACGAACGTCCTGGATGCGTTACTGACATCAAACAGGAACATGCTCCCATCCTTGTCTGAGCTGCCACTTGCAAGCCATCTACCACATGGAGAGACAGCCACCTGAACATAGAACGAGCTTATGCGCATGTTAGGGTGCCCGTATGACCCTAGAGGCATGAGAAAAGGAAGGGAATAGGTGTGTAGATGCGAGTCAGCGCCAGATGCGAATATGAGGCCAGCAGTAGGGCCTGCTCCCATCGCCAGACTAGTGATGCCACGCGGACGTCGAGTGCCGTTCATGATTGTGGGATCTAGCATGGAGAGAGATACAGGAGCAACGGCAGATTTGGCGGTTTTGTTTGATCCTTTCCCATTTGGTATTGCGGTCGGTAGACGAAGGTCCCAGAAACGCAGAATCCTACAGGAGAAGTCAATCCAGATGCTTCATGATATTAGCGAGTCGACTTACCCATCAGAGGAGCCACTGCTTATCAGACCATGGGGCTGGCTATTAGGATAGATCAAGCCTGTAACGCTTTTTGGCAATGGAAGCACTTTCTTCTTCCTTCCTTTTGAAGTATCCTGGCCATGTGCTGCTGGAATTACGAGAACCGGTGATAGTACAGATGTCTTGTTTTCGGCATTTTGACTACTGTTGAGCCTCAGATCCCACACGCAGATCGACCCATCCCTTCCTCCTGAGCTTAGTAGGTCGTCGTGGGTCGGATCCCATACTACACATTTCGCGGTTCCACTATGTCCTCGCAACACATAGAGGCTTTTCTGAGTTTCAACAGACGATACTCGGATTGACTTGTCTCCAGATGCTGTTGTTAAGAGGGAATCGTCATTGCTCCATTGTACATCGAATACCCCATTGTTGTGTGGTTGATAGGTGGTTCGCTGTGGTTCTGTATAACACAATTAGACATTAAAATATCCCATGAATGCAAGAAGGGAATACCGTAGTCCCAGTCTCGTCTTTTTAAAGTGTTAACGACTATTAGTGACCCTTGCTCTGTAGCCACGGCGATAAGGGGACGGCCACCATTCTTTGCGCCTGAACAAGCACGTAGTGTTTGATCAAAAAATGAAAAATATTGATATTGACAGAAATTACCATGAGAGTACGAGCATGCATATGGGAGGGTAGTATCGGTACTTTCAAACGTGGAGTAGCATCGATATACGTCAGATTTATGGGAAGAGACAAATGATCGTAGTATGGAATGTGAGGATACTAAAAGCTGGTCAGAGATATGAGCGATGGATCGGTAAGGACACTCACGCATGTTCTGCCGTACGCCATTGGGACGACATATTGACGCAGCAGCCATCTCTCCGAAGACTGTTTGACGTCGCACTCTGCTCTTGACAACGACCACGTCGTCATCACTATCGGATCCATCTTCTTCACCTTTGGGGGACAACTTTGGCCTTTTGGGAGCATATTCATCCAAACCAGAATAGGGACGCTTGGCTTTTCCGTTCGCTGATAGTGAAGATAAAGTATGTGAGGGTACGGGTACTCCGTCATTACAATGAATGTTCGTGCTGTTGACAAGAACAGACGAATACAACTCAGAGCTGTTCATTGGTGTCGACAATTCCGAGTCCGCTCAAAGAATAAAATGTATGAAAATGTTGTGTGCGACGTGCCGGGGAAGAAGAATGACCACCGTTCGGATTTTTACGCGGTCGAATATACACATGTTGCGTTGAACGCGTCCCCAGTGGTGATAAACGCGTCGCGTCGCATCACGTGACTAGTATCAGCGTGTCCCGGCGCTGTGGTGGCGACCGTGGTAACGCCTTGGTGGCCTTCCAAATCGGGAAGGACCACCATTGTTGAATCGGGATCCGTCGAAGAGCAGCACCAGATACACCACTGGTCACCATGAATCCGGCAGGAGTACATGAGCAGTACATTGAGTGCATATAGGAAACTATGAAGAGAAAGAGCAAAGATGACATATGTAATCAGTAATAAAACTAAGTGAAACTCAGCTGCTGCCCGAGAGGCTATAGAAACGACTTTATTATTTACCTAAGTGAAACTACAATAGATGTTAGTTTAAGGTGATCTCTAATAAATGTAATGTAACATACCTCAGCCGCTGCCCAAGAGGCTATAGAAACGACTGAGGTATTCCTATACTAAACCCCCTACTACTTATAGTCGGAGGTGCTACTCGCTACAGTATAATGACTCCTAGGAGTACAATTGTGCTCCTAGGAGAACAATAGTTACTCCATGGAGTGGTGGATATGCTCCATGGAGAACAATGGCTGCTTTGGCAGAGACCGGGTTTATCCGGTTTTGTCAATCAGTTCTATCTATTTGAATGAAATCTCAGGCTACATGTAACTGTTACGATTTGTCTACCTCTATTACGGACTACTCATTTCTCTTTACTCATCGGTTATACCATCGGACCGATGACTCACATCCCTCACATACACTTCCGCTCCTCTCGCACTTCTATTACTTTGTATAGTACTCAGTCCTCAATGGACAGACCTACCCTAGATAGGACGTAACTCCTATCGCCGACTTACTTCTCTATAAATACGCTTGTAACAGTAGTAGTATTCTCCAATACGATTCTACGCAGTTCACGCTTACAAAGCTAGAACTTCCAAGATCAGACTTCCATACGGAAGAAGACCAACAACCGTTGGAATCCCTCTATTCAGAATTACATCCTCGAACTTGTCTTTGGATAAGTCTCCTTGAACAAACTCGACGAACCCTCAGACTTTGTTAAGCACTTTGTGCGTAACAAAAGAATCGTATTCCATACCAGAAGTCCCACCTATTTAGGTTTGGGAAGAAAAAGCCGACAATACGTCGCAACGACCGAGAACCAGATCTCAGAGAGCAGGAAGAAGCTCAGACGATTTACAGACACAGACAGCAACACCCCCGACATCGTCCAGACAAGGAAGGATAGCAGCACCACCCCCCTTCCCTCAACCAGACGTCACCCGACTCCACACCAGAGAACAGGCAGACGCATTCTACGGAGCCAGAACACGTTGGCTACAGTTCTACGCGGAAAGTCATCCACAACTAATCCCCAGAACACAACACGATCCTCCAGTAACCACAGAAAACATCTACAACAAAGACGACTTCGAAGAATACGCAGCGGAAGGTGAACCAATACCCCTTCCCACACCACAGATACTCCCCACCGCACCCAACCCATCTCCTACCCCACCTACCTACACCATGTCAAACGCTACGACACCCAAACCCACTATGATTGGGAAAATCGACGACTTTGATGGGACCCCAGACAAGGCCCAAAGATGGATATCATCCACTGACTTACACTTTGACATCAACGACACCATTTATACCTCTGACAAGAAAAAGGTGTACGTAGCTCTCAGCTACATGAAGGACGGAACCGCCGCCTCATGGAGTGAAGCCAAGATGACCGAATACAAAGACAAGAACGCCTACCCCACATGGGCAGATTTTATGAAAATGTTCACAGCCAGTTTCAGAACAGCAAATGTCAAAGGAACGGCTTCGGCCGCCTTGATGAAAATGAGGATGGAACCAGGAGAAAATGCAGTAGCATTCAACTCGAGGTTTATGCTAGATGCCGGGAAAAGCGGCATCAACAACGAAGCCATGATCGTGTTTATCAAAAGGCAATCCGACCCCTCCTCCTCCGCGGAGCACTCACCAGAAAGGAACTGGTCACCATTGAAGACTGGATGAACACGGTGGCCAACCTAGATGCCAACTGGATCAGTGCCAACACCATCTCGGAAGGAACGTGGGGGGCCAGAAACAAAGAAAGACAGTACGACAAAAATCGCAAAAGTGGACCATCCACCAGCGTGAAAAGGCTGACCAAAGACGAAGAAGAAACCAGGAGGAAGGAAGGAAGGAAGGTGCTTCATATGCAACGAAAAAGGACACATCGGGAGGAATTGTAGGAACAAAGGAAAGACTCCCGAAAGAAAGGTACGTCAAACCGAAACTGAAAATGACGTCAAGACAGTGGTAGAAGAAGACAGGGTCCAAAACATCATGAGGATGTGGAGGGAGTTGGGAGAAGACCAAAAAGCTGAGGCGATGAAAGAATTAGAAGACGAGGGCTTTTGAAACGACGGACTACCCCGATGTTAGTACCGTCGAAAATGGCAACTGTAACAATAGCAACGATCAATGCCAACTCTTTATGAATCGATTGCTCGTTAAAACAGAAAACCATTGGAACCAAAGCCCTGATAGATTCAGGAGCTATGGACGACTTCATGGACACAAAATTCGCCATTAAAAACCGACTCCCCCTCCAAAAACTCCCGACCCCTATAACGTGTAAAAACGTTGACGGAACCACGAACAAAAACGGAAAAATTACGCATTGCACCTATCAGAGAATAGACGCAGGAGGACAAAACAGGTTTACAAAGTTTCTATTAACCAGACTGGACGGAGAAGACGTATTGCTAGGCTTCCCCTGGTTACGAAAAGTCAACCCGGTCATTAACTGGAAAGACAAAGAATTACCGTACTCAGACAAACACTCAATCAGGACAAACCAAACTACCACGGAAACAAAAATCAGGACAACCACAGTAGACGAGGACGAATACGAAACCATTCACAGATACGTATCCGACCACACACCCTATCCTCGAACCACGATTCGGTTAAAAGTCAACTCGGCAATGGAACACGCACAAATACACGGAGAAAGAAAAGAAAAACATATCCTCCCAGATGAATATAAGGGCTATTCAGACGTCTTTGACAAGAAGAAATCGGAAAGACTCCCCAAGCGACGGGAATATGATCATGTAATCAACATGAAACCGGAATTTGTACCAACGGATTGCAAACTGTACCCACTGGCACCAAAGGAAGATGAAGCGTTAACGGAATTCTTGACGGACAACTACAGAAAGGGATACATCAGGCCAAGCAAGTCGCCACAGGTGTCCCCCTTCTTCTTCATTGGCAAGAAGGACGGATCACTCCGACCATGCCAAGATTACAGAAAACTAAACACATATACCGTAAAAGACCCATATCCACTACCCCTGATACCCGACCTCATCGAAAGATTGAAAGGAGCCACCGTCTTTACTAAACTGGATCTACGTTGGGGATACAACAACGTAAGGATAAAAGAAGGAGACGAATGGAAAGCTGCCTTCAAAACCAGCAAGGGAGTATTCGAACCAACGGTCATGTTTTTCGGCATGTGCAATTCCCCGGCAACATTCCAAAGGCTGATGAACGACAAATTCAAAGACTATATTGATGAAGGCTGGATGATCATATACATGGACGACATCCTCATCTTTGACACCAATATTGAAAGACTCCGCATCCGGACAAAACAGGTTCTACAAAGGCTACGAGAAAACGACCTATTCCTGAAACTTGAAAAATGTACCTTTGAGGCGGAGACCATCCAGTACTTGGGAATGATTGTTTCCCACAACCAGGTATCCATGGACCCAGCCAAACTCGCAGGAATACGTGATTGGCCAACCCCGAAAGACACCAAAGGCGTACGGAAGTTCTTAGGTTACGGAAACTTCTACAGGAAGTTTATAGGCCATTACTCTGACCTAGCCCGACCCCTAAACGCCTTGCTAGAAAAAGACAAAAAGTGGAACTGGACGAAAATTGAAGATGACGCTTTCAAACTATTGAAACAAAGATTCCTTGAATCCCCTGTAACCCAAATCCCCGATTCCTCGAAACTGTCGAAGATAGCAGCGGACGCGAGCAAACACGCCACCGGAGCTGTATTAATGCAACCAGACGATCAAGGACAATGGCACCTGTGCGCATTTTTCTCGAAAACCCTATCCCCCGCAGAGAAAAACTACCAGATCTACGACAAGGAACTTTTAGCGGTAATGAGAGCTCTGAAGGAGTGGAAACACCTGCTTTTAGGAAGCCCACACACGATCCAAATTCTAACGGATCACAAGAACCTGACGTACTGGCAGGAGGCCAGGAAACTCACACCACGACAACGAAGGTGGCAGCTGGAACTGTCACAATACAATTACACATTAGAGCACGTATCTGGAACCCACATGGTGGTACCTGACGCACTCTCGAGACGACCCGACTTGTACATCGATAACACGGACGACGACGACGACACCCCAATGATACCAGCGTCGGCGTTTCTGTATCACACGAGAACAATAAAAAACACAATAGAGCAAGCAATGCTCACCAACGACAACTACCCTGGAAGAACGAAAAAGGAAGATTGGCACAAAGCGGAAGGACAGTTCTTCTATCAGAACAAACTACTGATCGACACTGCAGAAGAACAGAGAACGATCATCAAAAATCACCACGACTCACTAACCGCAGGACACCCAGGAAGACTAAAAACCTATCAACTAATAAAAAAGTCCTATTGGTGGCCAGGAATGATGAAACAGGTAGAGGAATACGTGAAAGGATGCGCAACTTGCCAGCAAGCCAAAGTAAACACGCATCCAACCACGGCACCGTTGATCCCGAATCAAACACCGAAGACCAGTGAACCGATGAAGTATCTCTCGGTGGATTTCATTACAGACTTACCCGAGTCTATAGGGTATGACAGTATAATGGTCGTGGTAGACCAAGGACTTAGTAAGGGGGTAATCCTCTCACCTTGCCACAAAACCATCGACGCACTCAAAACTGCACGAATCTTCCATGACTCTGTCTTCAAACGGTTTGGACTACACGACAAAATCATATCCGACAGAGGCCCACAATTCGCCTCTGAAGTATCAAAAGAACTCCACAAACTCCTAAACATCGAAACCGCACTCTCCACGGCATACCACCCACAGACTGACGGACAAACAGAACGATCCAATCAAGAACTAGAGATCTACCTCCGCATCTTTTGCCAGAATCAACCACACAGTTGGGCAAAGTACCTTACGACGGCCGAATTCTGCCACAACCAATGGCCACACTCCACGAATAACCAATCGCCATTCTACCTCCTCATGGGATACGAACCCCGAGGAATCCCGACTAAACACCGATCCACAAACATCCCGTCAGTAGAAAAACGATTATCCGAACTGCTTAGGGCAAGAGAGAACGCTCTAAAAGCACACGAACTAGCGAGAAGCAAGATGATGAAACGAACGAACGGAAAGTTCACCAGATTCTCAGAAGGACAAAAGGTGTGGTTAGAAAACACCAACCTGCGGGAAAAAGCCACCGAATACAAGAAGTTCAACATGAAACACATCGGACCTTTCCGCATCCAAGAAAAGATCTCTCTGGTAAACTACCGATTATCGTTACCTCCCCATTGGAGGATACACAACGTTTTCCACACATCCCTCCTAACCCCGTATACCGAAACCGACACTCACGGACCGAACTTTATCCGACCACCACCTGACCTTATCAACGAAGAAGAAGAATATGAAGTAGAAAGTATTCTTAGACACAAACCCTGGAAACGCGGATGCCGTTACCTGATCAAATGGCGCCATTACCCTCATTCCGAAAACTCATGGGAACCAGAAGAACACCTGACCAATGCTGCGGAGATACTGGAAGCCTATAAGAGAGACCACAAACTACGTTGAAGAGACAACCACCCCCACCACCACCAATCCTCTGTCTCTCAAAACACACAACATGTCTACTTCTCACTCTACCGGCTTCCCCATCACCACCTACTCTGTACCCGGCGAAGCCAACATGCTAGCCGACGAACAAGTGTCCTTTGCCCGAGGGCAACGACACAACCAGGCTGACGTCTCTGACGCCATAGAATTAATGTCAGCCAAAAACGCCCACGTCTATCTATTTCGTGAAACAGAAAAATGCTATCCCGATGCGTACCACGCTCTTTCTTCCCTATACACTTTCCTTAACATAGACCTCGTGGCTGACGAACTCCTGAAAGCCATAGACTCACTACATTCGTTGGAAAACGAGCATTCGCGGCACAACAATCAGGACTCGAGTATCTGTCAGGCACTCCGGATGGAAAAGTTAGTTTTGGAATCTTTGGAACGACGCTTGAGGATGAACTCCTTGAGTGGGCAGACGGACGCGGCAAAGGCATATTTGGAATTAGGCGGGAAGATCTTGCTAACCGAGGCACGCACGCGGATAGAGCGAGACGGCTATACGAGTACTCCTCCACCCGGTTTGTCCCGCCGGTCCCCATTATACCCAGATCAGATCAGTGTTACCCCGGAGCTCACCTACCCCACCGCCACTCCACAACCTCCGCCCACCCAGTTAGCGGAAAAATACATTCCCACCGTCCCAACCAGCCCGACCTCACAAGGGTCGAACCCCTCCAGTCCCCGTTCCACTGGGTCGAACCCAGAACCACTACCACCGCAGTCACCTCCGCCTCAACCAGTACCAAACGCCCAAACCCGTCGCCTGACGAAACGACGAGGAGCCCGACTAGGCCGACAAGAAGTGATACTCCAGATCCCCGTCGTCAGAACTCCATCGAATCGGCAATCTCGTACGTTGAAGAGTCCGAAAGACAGTCCGCCTGGCGTAACGCGCAGGCCTGAGACCGGCTCCCCTTCCAATCCAATCAACGTAGATGACGCTGACATGATTGACCAATTGTACGCGGGAACATACAACCTGGGAGATGACGATCCCCCCACTCCCAAATCCGACACCTCGTCCAATACCCGACGAAAGTACCACCAAGGCGTTCACGACAACGCTCCTTACTGTCAAAACTGCGGTTGGAGTGATCACCGTACATATTACTGCGAAGCTTACTACTGCCCCGACTGCGATAGACGTGCACCAGGGCATAGTTTCAATTGGTGCCCTATTCGTAGGGAAAACGAAGATAGGATTCTGATGGAGGGATTACATGGAGATGTCAGCTACGATGACAGCTACAACATGGATGGCGAGGGTACCGAATTTCGGTGAAATTCGAAGCAAGTAAGGGGGTAATGTTATGATTTGTCTACCTCTATTACGGACTACTCATTTCTCTTTACTCATCGGTTATACCATCGGACCGATGACTCACATCCCTCACATACACTTCCGCTCCTCTCGCACTTCTATTACTTTGTATAGTACTCAGTCCTCAACGGACAGACCTACCCTAGATAGGACGTAACTCCTATCGCCGACTTACTTCTCTATAAATACGCTTGTAACAGTAGTAGTATTCTCCAATACGATTCTACGCAGTTCACGCTTACAAAGCTAGAACTTCCAAGATCAGACTTCCATACGGAAGAAGACCAACAACCGTTGGAATCCCTCTATTCAGAATTACATCCTCGAACTTGTCTTTGGATAAGTCTCCTTGAACAAACTCGACGAACCCTCAGACTTTGTTAAGCACTTTGTGCGTAACAGTAACCAGATCTTCCGAGCCGCTTGCTATGAAATTTGACAATCCCTAGTACAACGGAAACAGTGAGCTAATATCTGTTTTGTTTACGAGTTTGAATATAGGAGTCACTAACTCACCTAACACCCCAACCACTGCTAGACAGAACATAGACGTCCTCAATCTCTGGTGCAATGGATCAACTTAGCGGCAGGAGTGATAGTAATGAAGGCACAATGGAAGTGGCTTATGAGGCCAATGATTTGTGAGCCAATTCTCTCGTTGTGGAAATGTTTATTCATGATGTATCTGTTAATCAGATATTTAAAAAACCGCAGTGAATTAGTTGCTTTAGTTCATCGTCAGATCAACAAGTGGCCTTTTGATGGAAATAGAAAGTTCAGTTCCTCGAAGACAGCAAAGGCGCTTATTATGAGTGTGCTCTTGGAACCCAAGTACGGTTTCACAAAAGTGATATCAGTGAGTGGCCCGAAACCAATCATTCTAAGGGTTTGTTTCAATATGCATATATATCAGGTGACAGCATCAAATACACCTGCAGTAGCTCTTAAGCCAACAACCGCAGGATGGGGTTCTTCCAATGCTGTAGGTCAGTTGGACTATTATACCCTAGTTTTGTTTGATGAAAATAGATTCTCGAAGTCCCCACATGCCTTGAACTTGAACATGCTCAGCAGCAAAATGTCAGTGCGTCATTAGAAGGTGAGACCGTTTCACCAAACTGCTGAGAAATCACAACTGAGTCCTTTCCTCCCCCCGCTTTTCAAGCGGTTCTTCAAGGGAATGACAGCTCTTTACCTCACCTGCCATCTGTGATGCTGTGCCCTGTCAATGCAGAGGACTGTCAGGAGTGCTCTCAAAGGGGTTATCAGCGTACAGAGCCCACACTTATAGTCCAGGGTGGGAGTCCGGCCATTCACACTTGTCAAGTACAAGTATGCGCCATAGAACCATTACTATGATGATCGTACTGAGAAATTTTTCAGTGGCATGTGCGCATATACATCCATGATCTGCGTTGTATTGAAAATCTGGCAAAAACAACATGCACCATCCTAATAGAAGAACAGGGCCAATGGAATGAGAATTACTGGCATGCAAGTGTCTAGGAGCTGGTTCAAAAGCTACAGTTGACCTCCGCTTCACTGTCTGGTATGTTTACCATATATCCAAGTTTTCTGCCTTGTCTAAACTAATCATGCTCATTGATCAAGGTTCTATCAAACTGTCTTACCTGGACCCCATTTTTCCGGAGTACTGACAAACATTTCTGATTACTGGTCCTGGTGAGACCCTTGAAGACATGGTACCGGATCCCCAGCAACTTGTGATTTCTAATGAGAATATCTTCAAGCTTACTGTTGAGCATTCACGTTGTAACATGCTGGGGTCAAAGTTGCAGAGTAGATCAGAAACACCATCATTGGAAAGATCTCAGTATGGTAAGGCTGATAGTTGTTGCATTCAGAAGCTTTGCTGAGAGATATCCCTAATGCAGGATTGAGTTGCGCAAGTGAAATCCGTCCACTCAAAAAGGCCCACACAGTATCTTCTACTGCCAACACAGAAGAAAATAAGAGGGGACGGAGGGAGAAAAAGTTGTCTATCTCAACTGATCATGTTTTGTGGCTCCGTGAACGACTTTCATCTCGCATTGGCTATCAGGAATTCAAAGAACGGCAAAATCATGTCCAGGAAAACTATGACATTGTGTCATCATGGACGTTTGCAGTGGACTTTTGCGAGGTTCATTTCAAGGTTCCACGAACAACACTTTTGAATGGGACACATCGTGTGACGAAGAAAAACATTGAGGTTGCACTAAATATTGGTGCAACATAGATGGCAGAGGCTGAAAAAGCAGTCCGCACACTGCGGCGTTTTGGTGCAGGAGGTCCCAAAGAACGATTAGAGGTTGTTGATATGGTCAAGCTTCACCAACCCAAGCCTCTAGGCTCTCGAGTCCTTCTGGACTTCCTTTGAGCTCAGCAGGGGTAAGAACAATGGTTAATACTTTTTGTCCTTAATCTTGTTAATAACAATAATTGGTATTAGTACGAGTTATACAGTAGAGTATGAAGTGTTGAACAATAATGCTTATCTCATGGATACTGCATTGCTGCTTTGAGTACACTCCCCTTGTGTTTTGCCAAATAGTCACAAAATGCCCGTGCTTTGAATTGAGGTTTACATTTTTCCTCCAAGAACCGAAGAGCAAGTGCAATGTCCCAACGGGGTTTTTCCACCAGTGCATTGACCAGCTCAACAACCTTCTTCCGACGCTGGCACTTAGTCTTTAGAGAACCAATGTTGCGACACCATTTGGCCCCCCATTGCTCTGTTAACTCCCGAGTGGATAGAAACCCGTTTAAACCTTCAGTCCATTCTGTCCATATATCTGAAATATCCAGGGTAGGCTGGTACCGGTAGTATGGTACCCATTCCCCTTCAAGCCACTCCCGCTGGTGACTATTAAGATGGTTTCCATATTTTGCTATTAAGATTGTTCATTTTTTGGCACGTATGTCAGAAACAACATTTGTTTCTGGTTCAGTAGGTTGAGTGGAACTAGTATGCACAATTGTGTTTGTATGCAGTACTGGTGAGATGGTAGTTGTTCTATTCTCTGTTGGTGTGCTAAACGAAGCAGATGAGAGATTAATGGTTATGTTTGGAATGATAGGTGTGGCTGCAAGGTTTGGGGGAGCATGAATAGTGGGTGGTACATGTTTGAGAGATAATGGGGGTGGTGTAATTTGTGTATGCAAGTCTGCTTGTGTTCTTGCAGCTAGTGAATATGCCATATTATGATTGAGTTTATGCTGCCAGTGATACTAGTAGAGGAGACGTGAAACTACTTACCAGTATAAATATTTTTCTTGCGACGAGATCCTTTTGAACCAAGGACCATCTCCACCAAACCATGTAGCTGGTCTAGTCTCTCATTCATATTATTCCATCTGACATCATTCTCAGCACGTTGGGCCTCTTGTTTGAGTGAAGCACCTGTTATCAAGCCACGTAGGCTCTGAACAAGGTGTTTGGGAAGGTTCTGAAATGCTAGTCGAGCCTGTTCTTTGGCACGGGAAATAGAAGTTGTTGCATTTGCAGCAAACTCATGAAACTGGGGTGTATTGAATGGAGCATACCGGAAAATAGGAAGATTAGGATAATTTGAAAACATAACAGCACCATCTTGTAAAAGAACAAGACGGAACCAAGTCATAACCTGTAGAAACTGTTCAAGGGCAATGTCTTTTGCTAGTCTGTTGCTCCGGACACATTCTGAAAGGGCAGAACATTTTTGCTCTACCCAAGGGAATATCTGGGAAAGAAGCTCTGCCGGTGGAGCTATGGCTTGCTTGAGTATCAAATTACAGTAAAAAGCTGATATGGCTTACAAAGGCAGCCATGAGAAAGAAGATACTGCTCAGGATTTTGGCCATTGAATTTTGCAGCACCAAGAATAGCATCCATAGGTAGTGCAGGGTCATAGACAGGAGTGAATGATCCACCTTGGCTCCATCCACCAAGGGCCTTTGTTCCTGACACTGTGGCACCATGTGAACGAGCTGTTTGAGCAGCGTAGTGTCTCCCTGCATGTGTGACTTTGGTGATTGATATGTTATTTTTCATGTGCATTAGGTTAACCCGGTCTCGATGATCTGTGAAATAAAGAATAAGTAAATGAGGCTATATTCAGAGACATGGCTTGATGGTGATAAACACAATAGAACTTACTTTCATATGACATTTCTTTTGTTTCCAATCCCACAGCAGGAAAAAGACGATAAGTATACCATTCCCAATAGCCATACTCACCATAGTTTGTATTGGAGAAGTCAGGTGCAAAAACAGGCAGTGGCAAACCAAGCATATGGAAGCGGGCAAAAAACTGCATAGCTGTTGCATTCACAGCACAATGTTCAACAAACCGGTGTCGAATAACACCATGCTCATCTACTCTGCCCGTCTGGTTGTGTTTGGCATTATCAGCTAGAGCTACAAGGACCTTCAAGAAAATATGATCACCCTGAGTAGCTCAAACAATTTAGCTTGTACGTACCGGAATTTTGGTGTCATTCAAGGGACTTTTGATCATAAACAGATCTGACCAAAGTAGCATTCGGCAACTTTCACCCTGAAATGCAGTGGCCGAAGATAATAAAAGCATTGCACGGTCTCTTATACCAAGGCATATATACTGCAGGCCTGTAAAGTCCATCAAACACCAAAGCGACAGCCGAGTGAGCTCTTCCTTTGTATATGTATCTAGGAAAAATGAAAACAGATTAGCATTGCATGCAAGATTGAAAAAAATCTATCACTAAACTTACCAGATGTAGTCCCTGCGGCTTTCAATGCTTGAGCTTGTTCCACCCTTTTCGGCTCATTATGTTTTGCAGCTGATTCAAAGGTGCAAATTCGAACATCAGAGCGAAGGCTTGAATGTGTCTCATGGGCTCTGGGATACAGATGCTGATGTTGAAGCTGGTAGTACTCCAGGGCACTGATGGCCTGGCAAATCTGAGACTTTCCTACTGTTGTGCCTTGAATGGTTTCGACATTGCTGCCACGCTTCCGCTAAGCAAGAATATGTAGGCCATCAGCTACATCAATTTGGAGAGAACTCAAGAATGCAACTAACCTTCTCATGTGTTGTCTCATATGCAAGGAACATAGCAACTTTTGCAGCGGTAATTGGGAAAGGAGGGATAGTAGCCCTTGTAGCATCTGAGGCGACCACACTAGCCTGATTCTGAATCCACCAATTCTCATAATGTTTCACATGCTGATTATATGTTCCCTTTGTTTGCTTGTCCTCTTGCTCTTTTGCAGCTATCTGAAGCCGGACCTCATGTGACTCCATGTTGAGGGTGTCAAGGGAATGCTGCATACGAGGAGACTCAAAGGCAGGCAGCACATGATTTCTAGTCACTGCAGGGCCTGGCTCGCTGACAAGACCACCAGGGGTTTCAGGAACAAATAAAAGCTCTGGTTCGCTGGCTGAAGAGTGGCCAATCACCGTTTCAGTGGTAGATGTTATCAGAGTCTCATTCAACATGCGCTGTTGCTTGAAGGCAAGTGGTGAAATGGGTGGTGAACGAGTGATGTGAACAGCCAGTGTGATAAATGGGGGATCAGTCTTCTCCTAAAGAATTGTGTGCCAATCTCTATGTATTTATGAGATCCTTATGAACCGAATAATGCAGGCAGTGACAAACCTTTCAGAGGTTCTTGGTTCTTGAATTTTGTCGCTGTTGAAACAAACTATGTGAGAGTACTCATGGATTTGAAGAGTAGAGCCCCGCTAATCTGGGATACATAAGTGAAATAAATGTGAAGAAAGTGAAAGTTGAACCAGTAATGAAAACAGATCTTTCAATGTTTTTGCAACCAGTCTACATTTGGCCTGTTCGAACAGTTAGTGCAGAAAATATTTTTTATTGTTATGTGAAGAAAGTGAAAGTTGACCAGTAATTAAAACAGACCTTTCGATGTTTTCGCAACTGGTCTACATTTGGCTTGTTCAAACAGTTAGTGCAGAAAATGTGTTTCAATCACTATGTGAAGAAAGTGAAATATGATTGAAATGGACCTTTCTATGTTTACACAACTGGTCTTCTACAATCAAAACAAACGGGGCACAATGGGAATATGTGCCCCATTTGTAGTCTTTGGTTCTCAAGTCTTAACCCTTGTTTGTCATGGTCTCTGCAATTGAGACAAACGGGCACCCTTCTATCCACAATTTGCAATCATAATGAATGGGCCACAATGGGAATATGTGCCCCATTCATGGTCTTTGGTTCTCAAGTCACAAACCATCATTCACCATGGTCTCTGCAATCAAGATGAACGGGACACACTGTCCCCACCGGGAACAACATGCCCTGTTTGTTCTGTTCATCTGAATAGAGTAAAAACAGAATTGAATTAGTAAAATTAAAATTAATTGAAA